TATTCCGTACTATTAATTGAGGCCGTCAGAGCAAAAGTGCCCTAGTCTAAAAAATTTCATATTCGTGCTTATATATTGCAATTTATTTAAAAATTAATAAATTTTGATGCAAAGTCGTCCTATCCCTAGTTTCATCCATAGATAACAGATGGCCAGTGCCGGATTAACCATGTAGCAAGAGTAGCAATTGCTACGGGCCCCGCGCGAACGGGGGCCCCGCATATTTAAACACACTCATCTCTGCCCGAGCTTAATTTTTTGAGTGACTTATTAAGAAAAAGTTGTTTGTATAAACGTGTACACTTTCAATCAGCCTGATAATCAGCTCTACAAAAAGTCTGACGTATGCAAGCACTCTTACCCGACACAGTGTGGATGTGTAGCATAATTGAGATGGCTCGATTTAAGTTTTTTTACCACTTTATACTTAAGAACCCATAGTAGATCAAGGGCTCTTTGAAATAATTTGCTACGGGCCCCGCGCTTGCGTAATCCGGCACTGCAGATGGCTTAGTAAACATAACTTTTGCGGGTATTATTTTTGCCTACAAAGCAGTGTAAAAGTAAATTCAAAACTCATTATCTCCATGCTGGTTTAGGTCGCTTATGCACTGACGGCCTCAATTATGAACCCGAATGCAGTATTTAAAAAACTCGAATATAGTATTTAATTTGTTTTATTTTGATTTTGATTGCGGATTCAATGCACACCGTAGTGGGGAAATATGCTAATTGACGGATATTACTGAACGTTCTGGATGTCGTAACATGAGCAGACAACCGATCAGGTGACCGATGATCTGGCCAAAATAGCTGGTAGGGAATGGGTGCGAAAGGCAAGAGACCGAAAAGAATGGTGTGTATATGAAGAGTCCTACACTCAGAATTGGGTGTAGACGGGTTAAAGAAAAGAAGAGACCAACCTGCGAATCATAGCATAATGAATATGGGGTAGGGAAGAATTTGAAAACAAATCTTACAATGGACAAAGTACTGCTCGATATCAGAGATATAACGTCCGATATACATTTCCAAACTTTTCCAAATTAAATATCACGTAATCGAATTGATTAGACTAATAAATTATTAACGTACAAGCATATCGAAACAAAGACACTTGTTATAATTGTAATATCATTTAATTACGTTGATAACAAATTGAAATGAACAGAATTTACTAATTGGGAATTATGTTATCAATAATCTGTGTTCAACATCGATAGGGGTGTCGCGAACTTGTTTCTGAAGTGTAGATAATAAAAGTAGGTGTTTAGTTAAATCGCACATTAAAGCAGTGAGACTAAGAAGCGTCCGTGGCCGCAGGTCAGACGTCCGGTATATAAGTCGCGCCAATAAAGAAACGAATCCAAAATGGCGTCTATGTACCTGCACTGACAGATGGTAGGGTCAACAAATAAAAAGAAAGATGGAAACAAAAAGTTGTTTATTGTAAAAAAAAATAAAAAAACGAATGAGAATGTACTTTCCTTTACTTTATGCCCTGGCAGAGGGGGAGGTGTCTCATCTGGGATGTAACTTGCGTAGACACTTTTGCTGCCAGCCATCTAAGTCGCACAACTCGAAAGTGAACTCAAACTCAACAACAAAGTCAGAACTGATATCTTTTTTGCATGCAGTACGCGCCGTGTGCGACTAAAGACAGCAATAGCTTTGAGTGAGAGCGCATGATCGACGCCGCCATTTTAGATTGGTTTCTTTATTGGCGCGGCTTATACTTGAGTCGTTTTTCCCCCTACCTATTTGCTGGGAACTGGCTATTACAGCTACGCTAGGGGTGGTAGGTGAGTTCACAGGGCTTAACCTGAGAGAGTTTGCTAGCACTGGCCCCAGCAAGAGAGCAGTGCTTCGTTGAATCTATCTCCGGATTAGAATCGCGACCCAGAAGATCCGGCAAGAAACTCAGTCGGTTCGTTACTAGTGTGTAGTGCGGCGACTACGCTAAAGGGGCGAGCACGAATGACGAATATCGAATATCGAAAAATTATTCGTATCGTTATCGAGAAAAAAAAAATGTATATTATTTAAACAGCACCCCTACCTATTGTCCGTAAAAAGAATTAATTTCAGCAGCACGAATTAATTTATTTACTTTCGTTTCGCAATCTAATCGTCACGTTCTCGAAACTCGAAACTCATAATCGAGAGCACGAAAACTGTTTTGACATGCGGTAACTTGAATCTTGAAGGCTGTCTGGCTATCGAGTACTAACCGTCTAATGCAATTATCCGTTTTCGTATCGAGGACTCGATACATTTACATTACGAATACGATAGATTTTCGTGTTTTTTAAATAAGTACAATATCTAACAAGTCTCGCGACTTCACGATGTGAAACGTTGCGTTATTAAAACCGATTTTACATGTTATTATGCGTATTTACAAATGAGTCGACTATTATCAAAGCAGGCAATGTGACTTTTGGACAATTATTGGTAAATCAGAAAAACGAATTATTGACTTTGTATTCCATTGGCAGTCACAAAACTCTTCTGAACGACATCTTAGATAAATAACAGGTTAAGTATTAAACTTTATTTAATGCAGGTTTTGAACCGAATTCTTTGAAGGAGACGATTATATTCAAATAAATCTGTATTGACATATCAATAACATTTTTTTGTCCAAATGCACAGATTGCCACCTTTGATAATAGACGACTCAAATACTAGGTATGCGACACAGATTATTATTATTATTATTCACAACTGAAGATCGATTTAATAAATATAATTTTGGCGAAAGTACTTCACTAAAAAATCTTTTTGACTTCTATTATTCGTATTGTTCTGATGAATTATTATTATTAATTTAGTGTTCAGCTCCAAACAGTCATGTATGTAATTAGATGTGATATATATATATATATAGAGTATGGCGTCGTCTCCTGGTCGCCTCGACTAAGACTGCGTTTATTTTGCACTCAGTGTTGTTGATGTATTAAAAACATTATAAATGTGATATGTTTGTTTTATTTCTCGCTCTCATCCTTTTTTTTTGGCTGAGGAATTACTGGTGGCCCGGAGGCCTTTTCAATTTCACCAGAATAGGTGGACGAGCAAGGGCTCAGCCAGGAGGGGTGGGATTTGCTAACAGCTGCCCGAGCGCCTCCAAAGAAGACCTAACAACTCAATAGTAACTGTTTCACGAAGGAATCTACTACCGGATCGGAATTGCGACCCGCTGAGAAGATCCGGCGAGAAACTCAGCGGGCAGATGTTTAGGTGAGGTTGCACGTCGAAGCCTTTGCCGAGTTCGACGAGTATGGTTAACGGACTCTTATCCTTATCCTTGCTCTTAAGTACAGGTAACTTTCTTATAACGCGGTAGATAAGTTCCTACAAAGTCCCGTGTTATGCGAAGCCCCGTTATATGAGACTAGAAGCCATTACAAAAAGGAGAGTATTTTTTCAAATGTAACATTTCAACTATATCTGTATTGTATGTATTTTTTACCTATTATACATAAAAAATAAGCAGTCAAATTTTGTTTATTCTCATATATTGTGTGTTCGTTGTGCGTAATGTAATTAAAGTTTTTTATTTATTTATTTTTTATCGCTTAGATGTGTGGACGAGCTCACAGCCCACCTGGTGTTAAGTGATTACCGGAGCCCATAGACATCTATAATGTAAATGCGCCACCCACCTTGAGATATAAGTTCTAAGGTCTCAGTATAGTTACAACGGCTGCCCCACCCTTCAAACCGAAACGCATTACTGCTTCACGGCAGAAATAGGCAGGGTGGTGGTACCTACCCGTACGGACTCACAAGAGGTCCTACCACGAGTAGAAACATGACTTCCTTGGGCGACTGTAACCACTCACCATCAATTGGGCCTTATGCTCGTCTACCTACAAATACAATAAAATTAAAAATAGGACCAAACTGTTGTTTCAAAATACGTTAGTTACGTAAATGTGGGAAGTTTTTTGTTCACGAATTTCTTTACCGTATCGAAATCGTATTATCACATCGGATTGTAAATCGTATTAATTTTAATTACCCACGTCAGCTTTGTAACCATGATTTCTTGTTTATTTCGGACAGTTCTAAAGAATTATTTACCATCGACGTCGCTCGCTGACTGATATTGTCTTTGCAGTAGAAAGTCACAAGTTCCTCTTTGATTTTTTTCCCTACATTTGCTGATAGCCTTGAAAGGCTATTTCAGCTTCGCCTTGACGTGTAGGTGAGCTCACGGGGCTCAAACCGGGAGTGTTGCTAACACTGGTTGCTAGCAAGAACAGTGCTTCGCTGAATCTACCACCGGATCGGAAACGCGACCCACTGAGAAGATCCGGCGAGAAACTCAGTGGGCTCTCTTTGATAACAACACCTCATCTGACTACAGTAAAAATCATAATAAAAAAACGTGTGGTTACGCTGATAAGTAATAACTCGTTTTTTTTTCCCCCTATCTAGCTGAGAGCCTTGAGAGGCTATTTCAGCGTAACCTAACAAGTAGGTGAGCTCACGGGACTCAAACCTGACGACATTGTTAACCTAACCCTAGCAAGAGCAGTGCTTCGCAGAATCTACCACCGGATCGGAAACGCGACCCACTGAGAAGATCCGGCGAGAAACTCAGTGGGCTGCGTCTGTGGGTTAATTTACTCGTCGAGCCCTTTGTCGCAAGCGACGGGTTCGACAAGAACGATGACCGGTGCTTGAGGTACCTAAAAGCACCGTTAGTGGATCGGGAGGATCCGAAATGACGTGTATTAACACAGAGTCACAGAGCACACATGTCCACAATCCCGCTGTTCATACATGGTCAATAACAACAACGTGTTTACCAAGATCTGGAATTGAGATAGCAACATAAGTCGTTTCTTACAAATCAAAATTAATCAGGTGGTTCGTTGAATTATCTCAGATCAGATTTAATGAGCATGTTCAGATTGTGTTTCGGCTACCGTATGAGATTAATTAAACATTATTGATTGTTGGTCAACATTCGATCAGTACACAGCAGGATGCTTGGGAGTTCGGGGTTGTTGTTTCTACTTGTGCTTTGTGGGCAGGTAGGTTATATGTTTGAATCGATCAAATCTTTTGAGGCAGGAATAAATGTCCTGGAAAGTTATTGAGGATTGAATTTGTTGGTTTTTTTCACTGGCGTCATTGTCATGTAACTAGTAACTACACAGTTCATAGTCCACTATGACGTTTATACTATATTATAACGTCATCACCCTTCTCTTCTCTTCTTCATCGTTACCTCACTGAGGATCGCGACCACATATGACTTTCATCTATAATATGTAGTATAGACTACCAGTAGCCGTTTTTTTAACCAGATCCAACCATCTGGCTGGCGTTCTGTCACCACCCTTATGAGATGACAACGAAGTCTCAAAGTTGTATTGAAGGCTCTCCTAATGTAATCGGGACACATGACGATTGCAGCTAAAGTGGTGGAACCAATCTATATCATTTTCCCCCTACTTATTTGCTGGTAGCCCAAGTGGCTATTCCAGCTACGCCCAGACGGGTCAGAATTTGGTAACACCAGCAAGAGACGTACTTCGCAGAATCTATAACTGGATCGGAATCGCGAACCACTGGGAAGATCTGGCGAGAAACTCAGTGGGCTGCGTCTATGGGTATCCTTAACAACTGGTCCTACTTTCAATGGGTCCTATGAAAATCATAAAACTAAGTTATTTGAAAGCGTCCTTTAATTTTTTACGGCCTTTGATCTCGATGTAATGTAATTATTATTATAATAATTAATAATCATCATTAGAAATAACTAACTTTTTGATCTGTGTTACTGGGTACTTTTCCAAAGTCGTATTCGAAATAGAGTAATAGTCGTCGCTTTAACAGGTAATAGCCTTATTTTATTTTTTTTCTACCTAAGCTGATAGCCCTAGGGGCTATGTCAGCGTAACCCTAACTTTAGTAGGTGAGCTCACGGGGCTCAAACCTGATGACGTTACTAACACGAACCCTAGCAAGAGCCGTGCTTCGCAGAATCTACCACCGGATCGGAAACGCGACCCACTGAGAAGATCCGGCGAGAAACTCAGTGGGCTGTGTCTGAGAGTTAATTTACTCGTCGAGCCCTTCGTCGCAAGCGACGGGTTGGACGAGAACGGTGACCGGTGCTTGAAGTACCTAAAAGCACCGTTAGTGGATCGGGAGGATCCGAGATGACGTGTTTTGGGCGACGTCGACTGCTTTCCATTCTGTCCGCAGGATCGGGAATGTAGTTACCGGCGGCCACGATGAGAGGGTTCTCGTGTCGTGCCGCTTTATCGAAGTGGCGCATCGACGCCGACTGTAGATACTTACTGATGGACTCTAAGTCCAGGTCGTCATGGAGGTCGACGTTCCTGACGAACCACGGGGCTCCGACGGCTATCCTGCAAAAACGGAATTGAATAATTTGGAATGATTTTAAGTGAGTGCGGGCCGCGTGAGCGAACACTACACTTGCATAGGTCATGACGTATGCAAGTTTTGTAGAGTGTCACCTTATTTCTAAGGGACATTTTACTTCGCCTACATATCATCGGGTAGAGGTAATAGCCGTTTGTCCATCTTGGCTCGTTGGAAACCCTCTAAAAATATTGCTTAATGTGGAATCTGCTGTGGTGTCACGCAGCCACAAGTGGCTTGAAACATTGAGCGCATCGTGACAGCATTAGTGTTACCAGCTTATTTTATATCTGATCATAATCGCCAATGTTGCAATGAATTTTTCTTTTTTTATAGAGCCTTTCCCAAAAAGTCAAGCCCTACTTCATTGAAGATATCAACAAAGGTAAGCTACACAAAATTATAGCTGATATTATTCATTAATTTTTCTTAGGGTACCATAGCAATAATTTTTCAACAATCAATTGTGATTTTCATCATATGTCCGTCGCAGCTATTGGTCGAGGAAGCCATTTATTCTGTATACTATTCATATATATTTATAAATTAATTTTGCCACCATTATTACGTTCGCGTTAGAAGAGAAGTTACTTACAGACTTTTTTTTTCGGGCACGGTGTCGAACTTGATACGATGTGTGCGCATCTAGGGTGTGCCCTAGACACGTCCTTACGGATCCATCAGATCCAATAACCCTTGCCTTAGACGCCTTCAGCTGTAACTCTAGAAGCAGGCCTAGCGACCCTGGTAACCGTACTCGTCGAATTCGGCAAAGAGTTCGACGTGGAACCTAACCTAAACATTAGCCCGCTGATTCTTGCCGGATCTCTTCAGCGGTCGCTATACTGATCCGGTAATAGATTCATTCGCGAAGCAGCTACTCTTGAGTTGTTAGGGCTCCTCTGGAGGCGCTCGGATAACCATTAGCAAATCCCACCCCTCCTTGCTCCTGGAGAAACTGGAAGGATACTGAAATCGAAAAAAAAGACCTTGGGGTGTACGCGAGGAATGGGGGGTACATGACTGTCTGCAGATGTTGGAAGCAGATCGCGGGCCCAAGGATGTTTTGGGTCCCTACCAAACTACAGTTACTTGCAGTCCTGAATCAGGTTCTGACTTTAAAGGTCCTTAGGGATCTTTGGTCGTACGTGGCTATTTCTTTTTATGCGGAAATTTTTTCTTAAACCACTTCTTATTTTAATTATTGACAAATAAAACCTAATTCATAATCGTGTCTTATACTCATCTATAGGTCTTCCAAAAGAATCCAGACTTTGTGTGTTTACAACTAAAATAAATTTCCTTTCAACAAGGTTCTCTCTTAGCTCTAACCGGAACTTTAGGAATAATTGTCTTTTTTTGTTTAAACGCAGACTTTTGTCTCGTGTACCAACTGAGTCGTACACTGGGCTGCGCATCAATAGCACAATCATCATCATCATAGTCGGCTGCGCTTATTTTTTATTTTTATTTTTTTATTGCCTAGGTGTGTGAACGAGCTCACAGCCCACCTGGTGTTAAGTGGTTACTGGAAGTAGTTATTTGGAATCCTTGTTTATTAAAGCCTTGACAGCTGTTCTCCATAGTTCGAGAACTGAGGCTTGACGCACGCACTTGTTCAGTAAGGATTTTCATCTTTGTGCTTAGTGTGAGTAAAAGTTAGCTCATATTTGTATGGAATGGGATAGTTTGCGTACGTTTGCCGCTAGGGGCGCTGTTCCAACTGCATACAAAGTTGGGTTAACTTTTACGCTATCGAGAACGTTAAGAAACTCGCACTTAGCACTCTGATCACTCAACAGTACAATACCGCCTGGCCCTTTTTTCAATTCTAGATGTAGATACCACAAATCTCCGTATTGTATCTGGTTGGGAGGCGACTCCCGGTCAGCACCCCCACCACGCCGCCCTCCGCATGGTGGATCCAACCGGCGGAGTGTTTGCTTGCGGTGGCTCTATCGTCCACAGGGAGTGGGTGATCACTGCTGCTCACTGTGTTGCCGGGTGAGTTTACTACGGATCATTGTCTACTCTGTTCAAGCACGTTCAGTTGATATTTTGAAAGCGAAAGTACATTATCTCTTTTTCAAAGCACAGATAGCTTGATTGTTTTGTAGTATGTTGTGGTTTATATAATTTAGTTTATTTGGTATGTATTCCTTATCTATGTATTTTGTATGTATGTATCTATGTATTTGTTTTGGTAATGCAATTATAGCCTAGTGTTCATTTTACTCATGTCTACTGTAATTCTATAAATTATCGCCATGTATTAACTTCATCACAGCTACATACTTCTTGAATCTTTCACTTCATCGACGAGGGTTAACTGGAAGAGAATGCCTGCAAGGCGTTATGTTCGCCTTTGTAGAATATTTTTGTGCAATAAAGAATTTTCATTCATTCATTCATACTCTGTAGTTGTTTGTCAAAACTCTATGGGGACATACTGAGATACACTTACCTACCAATAAATTTTACTCGATAGATGCTAGTTAAAAAAAACCCGCATTGATAACATAAGCATAGCACAGTTATTGATCAAATAGGTTGTATATTTGATTGAATAACTTGATTTATTTTCCGTTATATTAGTCGTTACGAAAGCGGAAATCTTCGCGAAATTCTTTTGAATTCGAATAAAAGTAATCTTATTATTCATGATAAAAACAAACAAGTTTGATAACACGTCGATAGTGGTCAGTAAGACTTAATTATTTAAAGAATCAGAAGCTTATGACGTGTAAACGACAAGGATTAATCAAGCGATAAATTATATTAATATCATCGAATTGTTTACTGTGATTGAACATTTTAATAGGATTATGGCGAGTTTTTAAATTACTAAGAATACGTTTGTCAGATAAGGTTATTTACTAAATTACATCCAGAACAGTTGAAATTAAAATCTGATGCTATGGAAAATAATATTTGCAGCAAATCACTCGTAAAACCTAGATATTAAGCTGTTACAAGGCGCTTCGAGATCATAATCTGACAACCACTCGCATCACCTAGTTGTTATGAAAAAATTTCAAACGTAATTATTCTTTTTTTTTATTGCTTAGATGGGTGGACGAACTCACAGCCCACCTGGTGTTAAGTGGTTACTGGAGCCCATAGACATCTACAACGTAAATGCGCCACCCACATTGAGATATAAGTTCTAAGGTCTCAAGTATAATTACAACGACTGCCCCACCCTTCAAACCGAAACGCATTACTGCTTCACGGCAAAAAAAGGCGGAATCGTGGTACCTAACCGCGCGGACTCACAAGAGGTCCTACCACCAGTAAACAAGTGTGTATGTACTCTTTTCCTTCCACAAAGGTTACCTTGATATATAAAATCAAAGTCGTAAAGCGTCTGATACACAAATAAAGTGTATATTTCTTTCAGACGCATCACGGTGGTCATTCGCGCCGGCGTTACGAACTTGACCACTCCGGAATACATTTCGGAATCGACAGAATGGTACAACTACCCCACGTATGACGACACGCGGCCTAACTTGGTACAGCCCAACGACATCTCTTTACTGAGACTCCATCGACCGGTTGTCTTTACCAGTTAGTAAAATCCAAATTAAACCCAACAAAAAAAGGAATGATATAATTTTAGAATAATTTACAACGCATACGATGACTTTGAATCATGATTCAACACTTTGAGAAGGCGGCACGACTCGAAAACGCTCTTGTCATGGCCGTCGGAAATTACATACCCGATACTGTGGACTGAACGGTAAATAGCCGAAGTCGCCCTAAGCACGTCATTACGGATCTTCCCGATCCATTAACGGTGCTTTTAGGTACCTCAAGCACCAGTCACCGTCCTCGCCGAACCCGTCGCTTGCGACGAAGGGCTCGACAAGTAAATTAACCCATAGACGCAGCCCACTGAGTTTCTCGCCGGATCTTCTCAGTTGCACTGCTCTTGCTAGGGCCAGTGTTAGCAAAACTTTCGGTTTGAGCCCCGAGAGCTCACCTACACGCTAGGGTGAAGCTTAAGGTGAACGATGAAGGGTGAAGTTGTCGATTGCTAAAAATGGTAAGAGGCCCCTGCCTACTGTCGAGGACTCATTTGAAGCCTTTTTTTATTTATTGCTTAGATGGGTAGACGAGCTCACAGCTCACCTGGTGTTAAGTGGTTACTGGAGCCCATAGATATCTACCACGTAAATTCGCCACCCACCTTGAGATATAAGTTCTAAGGTCTCAGTATAGTTACAACGGCTATCCCACCCTTCAAACCGAAACGCATTACTGCTTCACGGCAGAAATAGGCAGGGTGGTGGTACCTACCCGTGCGAACTCACAAGACAACCTACCACCAGTAAGCCTTTATGTAGAAGAGCATTATAGTACTCGGGGTTTCAAATTATTTCTAGCAAGTATATTTCGAAATATTTATATTTTTTCCATGCGCAAGGAACACCTATAATTTGACTTGTATTCGACATTGATGAGTATTATTTCTTTATTTAATTGTGAATGTAAATATTTCTTATTTCTTTATTTATTTGTTAGGCACACAATACACATTACAAGCTCAAAAAAGAGATACACAATAAAGAACAACCAGTAAAACAATCTGGCTTTGTAACATAAGCCATGTGCACACGACTAATCGAGATAAATGTGCTAAGTACACTGAACTGACATTAATATATTGGTTACTGCAGGATACCTCCAGCCAATTCGTGTGCAATCATCGGCTGATGCCTTCAGGAACTACGACGGCCTCACCGTGTACGCCAGCGGTCATGGTCGTCTCTGGACCAATGGTAGGTTCTTTGGTGCAATTCATATGAGAGTTGACATGTAACATATAAATAATTTAGTATCATTATTATTATTATTTTATTGCATAGTTTGGTGGACGAGCTCACGGCCCACCTGATGTTAAGTGGTTACCGGAGCCCATAGACATCTACAACGTAAATGCCGCCACCTACCTTGAGATGTGAGTTCTAAGGTCTCAGTAAAGTTCAACGGCTGCCCTTCAAACCGAAACGCATTCCTGCTTCACGGCAGAAACAGGCAGGGTGGTGGTACCTCTCCCCGGTGAAGTTCAAGGGGCGACCTGAGGGGGTGAGGCCGCGCGGCGCGCTACCAGCACTCTAGCGCGCTGCCGTGGAGTAAATAGAGCGACCGGTCGACGGTGTATCGCGTCCCGACCCGGTAGGCTGGTTCTGGTCTAGCGGGGTATTCCGGGACATCAGCGGCACCGTCTGGGCGGCCCGATGGGCTGCCGTACCGAGACGGCCGACGTTTCAGAGCCTTCGATTCGCCTCGAAGGCTCCGTCGGCTGGGCGTCCTCGGGGTGAGCCGCGCCGTCTGGTTGTAGTGTTGACCGCGGTAGCCCCCCTACCTCATCCGGGTTCTGACCTCGTAGGAGGTTCGGCCCACTACCCGAAAAAAAAAAAAAAAAATGGTGGTGGTACCTACTAGTGCGAACTCACAAGACGTCCTACCACCAGTTAAATACTATTACAATTATACTAGCAAAACTATATGACACGCGAAATACGATACGAAAGACATTGATTTGTTAAAAATAATTGCACGCCACCTAAAATACATTCATGGTACCAGCCAGGTATAGCCAAACCCTTCCAGAAAGTGCCCATGATAACTATAAAAAGTTTCGCATGCATATCACGAACAAAAAACAAACATATAAAGTTAAATTTAAAAAAAAAAACTGTTTAAAATGTGTTTAAATGATTTGCCTATAACTTATTATTTATATTGTATTTGATAATGTACACGTTTCAAAAAAATGAAAGTATCAAGATAAAATGGATATATTAACAGATTAAAAACTCTTTCATCACCAGAGTCTGCCCGCGACTGTTAATCAGTGTGCTTAGTGCGAGTTTTTTAACGCTCTCGATCGCGTAAAAGTTAACTCAAATTTGTATGGAGTTGGAACAGCGCCCCTGGCGGCAAACGTAGGCAAATGTAGTAAGCACACAGACGATATGCGATTCTCTTTTTCTTTTATGTGGTTTGCCGAAGCTTTTAGATATTACAACGTAGATACCGCCACCCACCTTAAGACTTGAGAATGCGTGCACTCATCTATGATGGGCTTTTGCGGAGTGACTTGCGAGCGGGGTACCTGATAAATGCTTAATCTGCGGTTTTTTTCGTCGCCTGTCCGTTTGTTCCGAACAATTAAGATGTTGGATGGGTGTTTGTAATCTTATTATTGTCGTTTTGTCGTTGAGGTGCTACTCCCGAGGTCCTGAACTGGGTATACTTGCGTGCTGTCGCCAACCCGACTTGCGCCCTCAACTTCGGCACCCTGATTACGCCGAATGCGATCTGCGCCAGATTCTTCAATGTGACGTCACAGTCTACTTGCCAGGCAAGCACATGTTTTGTTAATGCTACTCCTTGGCTGTTTTCATGATGAATAAGTTAGCTGATTGGTAGCGAATTTCCTGGACATTTCGACTGAATTATTTCAACAAAAGGCTATTTCATTCGATGCATGCATTCGGTGCACACAAGTAAGAAACCGTTCAAACATTTTAGTGCCTTCGAAGACAGACAAGCATGCGTGATTACCGTCGATCAGTGTGCTTAGTGCGAGTTTCTTAACGTTCTCGATAGCGTAAAAGTTAACCCAATTTTGTATGAAGTTGGAACGTTTGCCTACGTTTGCCGCTAAGGGGCTGTTGAGTTAACTTTTACGCTATAGAGAACGTTAAAAAACTCACTAATCACACCGAGCAGTTGGAACAACGCCCTTAGCGGCAAACGTAGGCAAACGATCCCATTTCATACAAATATGAGCTAACTTTTACGCTATCGAGAACGTTAAAAAACTCGCACTAAGCACACAGGAATATCAGCAAGGACATAGACTAACCGCTGCCTATCGCGGAGGACTCTTTACCAAACTCGCTTGAAGAAAGACAAGTCATAGCGCTCGCGAAACAGCGAGAAAGGGAGTTCATTCCGGATCTGGGCGGTGGTAAAAACGGTGGTAGGATGTGTTATGCTGGTAGCAAGTCTGTGGTAATACAGGCCCGCACGGATACCACTATCATGTCTATTTTTGCCGCGTGAATGTGAACGAGGTATCGATATGTTCCTACCAAGAACCACTGCTTTCATATACCCATATTTAATTAACGAAGAACGCATGTTACTTCATGACACTTTTCGTGGCACGGGTAGGAGGAATGGATTTTTTTATACGTATGTGGTAATAAAGAAGGTTAATTTGCCTTCGCTCAGGGTGACAGCGGCGGTCCACTCGTCCACGTGGATCCTGAGGGTGTACCGATTCTGATCGGTGTGACCTCCTTTGTTGCCGGCGGCGAATTCGGTTGTCACTCTGGTTTCCCAGCTGGTACGTATCAGTGTGATCGAGTTCTAAATACGTGTCTCGTGTGAATTACATAAGATTTCTTAAAAATCACGGTAATATTTTGTATTCACCCCGCGGCGTCACCCGCAGTTTTTGTCGTACCGCGCGCAACATGGCGGGCTTCTCCTATCAATCAACAGAATGTTTCCGAAGCGAAGCGAGGGCGGGTCGCTAGTGAATAATAAAATTTAATGTTTCAGAAGCGAAGCGAGGGCGGATCGCTATCAATAATAAAATTTAATGTTTCCGAAGCGAACCGAAGGCGGGTCGCTAGTAATCAATATTTTTAATCAATTATGTTTGAGCCTCTTTTGTCCTCAAATGAAGTCATCATTGGCATTATTCAAATATATACTTTAGCCTATATTTTTCTGTGTATGACTCTAATGTCAATTTCATTCTAATTATGGAGGGTAGAGGTAAGGAGAATCGTCTCATATGGGAGGAAGCTTGAAAAGTGTCCCACTTTCAGTACTAAATAACAGTTTAAAAATCGTCCAGAATGGCGCTACCATAGGCACAGGGTATGATTTGAATTGAGCAGTAGTTAACTGATTGAAGTATGCTGAGTTAGGAAATTTTTAAATATATTTAATGACTACAGTAGTTAGTGACAGTGTAATATACAAGACCTCACATGTTTACGTAGCCCAAACTAATTTCGTCAAAATAACCTAAAATTATAGCTGTGGTAAAACGTAGAGACATCGATTCCGCTTTCTTATCAGCTTTAAATAAAATACTTTTTGAGGTTTTCTAGTGCAGCTTCTTCAGTTCTTTCGTCCTTTTTTATTTCTCTAACTTATTCTACTCGTAATAACTTTAAGCGCCTTTTTAAAAATTTACCTGGTTGCTACTGTAGCGCCACCCTTATTTAGCAGAATTTAACGGACACTTTTTACACACAGAGACGGTTCTCCTTACCTCTACCCTCCATAAATACTATACTATGATCTAATTATTGTTTATATCAGTATGTATATTATTATATGTATATTGTATCTATACCCATTAAAATATTGTGATTTCTAGGTTTCATTCGTCCTGGACCATTCCATGACTGGTTCTATCGTGTCTCGGGAGTAGATTTCGAAAATCTTGACCACGACGAGGTCACTGAAGAACCAGAACCGGAAACCACTACCTCGCCACCTACCACCGTTACACCAGAACCTGAAGAAGAGGAAGACTCTGGCGAAGACTCCGAAGAGGATTCCGAGGAAGACCCGGATCTGTCTGAATTGTTGAAGAAATTAGAGGTCAAAGTTAAGGTGAAGGTCAAGGTTAACAAATTTAAGCTGAAGAAGAAGGTTCACGTTAAGAAACGAATTCCAGCACGCAGTCATTAAAAATTGTTAAGATAACTTGGCGAAATAAATTATTGTTGCGCAATATTGTGTCGTTACTGATAATAATCCTGATATATACGTTTTCATTTCTATTCTACCTATTTTACAAGGAAGTATTTTTTGTATGATTAATTGTACCATGAACACAACAATTCTCTACTAGGCTTTGCAAAAGAAGTAAGCTATGTTTTTGACTCGTACGGATTGTCAATGTCAAATTGAAAATCATAGAGTAATATTTAATGGATGTGCTACTATTCTTCCTATTGCTCTCAATTCTCACTTACACTAATTCAACACTGCTGGCAATGATTGCCTGGAAGCCTCATTAAAAAAATATTTGACATAGCCTTCCGTGTCCAGATGACTAAGAATGATAATGAATTCTTGTGAACTAGCATGAACATTCGCTAAGCAACCTATCTCTGTTTTTTTTTCCTACCTATGCTGATAGCCTTGAGAGGCTATTTCAGCTTCACCCTAACGTTAGTAGGTGAGCTCGCGGGGCTCAACCGGAGAGTTGCTAACACTGACCCTAGCAAGAGCAGTGCTTCGCAGAATCTACCACCGGATCGGAAANGCAACGGTTGCCGAATTGTCGTTTTTATAAAACTCGCGCACACAAAACGCACGGTCCGCTCCGGTAAAACGCTCCATCGCGACTAAATTCCCAGAAACCGAAGTTACTCCCCCCGCTTCCCCTGCACCGCTCACGCGCGCCCTGTTCGTTTTATTCAAATTTTACTTTTCAAAGGACTTATGGGCCACCCTGTATTTTAGTGCCTTCGAAGGTAGACAAGCATGCGTGATTACCGTAGCTCAGTGTGCTTAGTGCGAGTTTCTTAACGTTCTCGATAGCGTAAAAGTTAACCAAATTTTGTCTGCAGTTGGAACAGCGCCCCTAGCGGCAAACGTACGCAAACGCTCGAACTCCATACAAATATGAGCTAACTTTTACGCTATTGAGAATGTTAAAAAACTCGCACTAAGGACACAGGAATATCAACAAGGACATAGACTAACCGCTGCATACCGCGGAGGACTCTTTACCAAACTCGCTTGAAGAAGGACAAGTCATAGCGCTCGCGAAACAGCGAGAAAGGGAGCTCATTCCAGATCTGGGCGGTGGTAAAAACAGTGGTAAGGTGTGTTATGCTGGTAGCAGGTCTGTGGTAACACAGGCCCGCACGGATACCACTATCATGTCTATTTTTGCCGCGTGAATGTGAACGAGGTATCGATACGTTCCTACCAAGAACCACTGCTTTCATATACCTACCCATCTTTAATTCACTAAGAACGCATGTTACTTCATGGCACTTCTCGTGTCACGGGTAGGAGGAATGGATTTTTTTTATACATAAGTGGTAATAAAGAAGGTTAATTTGCCTTCGCTCAGGGTGACAGCGGCGGTCCACTCGTCCACGTGGACCCTGAGGGTGTACCGATTCTGATCGGCGTGGCTTCCTTTGTTGCCGGCGGCGAGCACGGTTGTCACTCTGGTTTCCCAGCTGGTACGTATCAGTGTGATCGTGTTCTAAATACGTGTCTCGTGTGAATTTCATAAGATTTCTTAAAAATCACGGTATAATTTGTATTTTAATCGACGGTAATGAAACGATTTCTATCAGAAATGCCTATTTCTGCCGTGAAGCAGTAATGCGTTTCGGGTTGTAACTAATTAGACAAAATAAAACAAATCACACAATTTCACTCCTCGCGTTCCCGCCAAAAAGTCGAACGAAATTGACATTAGATTCATACACAGAGTATATAAAAATATAGGCTAAAGTATATATTTTAATAATGCCAATGATGACTTCATTTGAGGACAAATAAGGCCCAAACATAATTATTTAAAAATATTGATTATTAAAGATTATTTTTCATTAAAGACTGGTTTCCTATTAACAGCTATTCTATGACATCGAAATGAATTTAAAACAAAAAAAAGGTCAATGTCTAATGATTTCTCGCGATGCTATTGTTGAGGGTGTCGATTTTAGTAAAATATTTGATTTTTGTACAAATATTTTGAATTGCAAATACAGCGGTCTGAAATGAAGTTGATTAATTTCAAAATTGTAATTGCACTGGAATGATATGGAATGAGACGACATGAGATGAAATGAAATACGTCTCATCAAAATGATGCAAATTTACTGAGACTTCAGTCTGAGTTGTGAAGGAACCCCCGAAGCTACTTTTAGGGCCATTGTTATATTTTCCCAAATTAGTGCAATTTCACAAATGTTAAACGATTAATAATTTGCAATTATCACAAGTTTAAACTAAAGGAAAGACTCTTCAATTAACAAAATAAATAAATTCGTGTAACTTAGTTCCTCTCGTTCCCACCAAAGAATGCACACCCTCTTTAAAATGGTTACGCTGCCTATGGGCATTTACAATGCAGCACTTTTTTCCATAATTATGCTGCTAGCCTTGTGAGGCTATTTAAGTTTCACCGTAGCATGTAAGCTTTCGGGGCTCATACCGGAGGTGTTGCTAAAACTGGCCCTAGCAAAAGCAGTGCTTCACAGAATCTACCACCGATTCGGAAACGCGACTCACTGAGAAGATCTGGCGTTCCTACTTAGTGGGCTGTGTCTATGGGATGCAGCACTGTTTTTGCCTTTTTTATTGCTTATTTGGCTGGACGAGCTCACAGCCCATCTGGTGTTAAATGGTTACTGAAACCCATAGACATCTACAACGTAAATGCGCCACCCACCTTAAGATATGAGTTCTAAGGTCTCAAGTATAGTATGGATGAACTTTACTCTGGTGGCGGGCGGTGCGATGGTAAAAGCAAGTCGAATTATGGTAACATCTCGAACAATTCCTCAGAGCAGTCCTCATGGAACATAAAAGATCGTAAAATCACTTGAAAAAAAAATCAATTTCGTTCTAATTATGTAGAGTAGAGGTTATTTAATAACGCCTTAAATAAATCGGCATTATAATTTAATAAAACGGCACATACTTACCGTTGCTGTATAGTAGGACAAAAAATGTGAGCCGTCACGGGACGCCTGGCAGATGTGAAACATCGACATTATTTTGTAAAAGTAATATGTAGAAAAGAACAGATTGTGATAGGAACTAAATATGTCATAATGATAAAATAAAATATCGCAAAAAAAAAAAATTGTTTTCAAGTAAAATACAGGTTATGTGTACTGTAGTAAACAACACTGTATACACTACGGAGTATACACTATAGGTATTCGAACTCAGTGTAGCGAGAGAGATGGCTTAACGCCGGATCGAGTAGGAGAGAATCGCACAGTCGATTGCGCATGGTGAAGCGTCGCCACGCCAGAAATCGGTTTTACGTGCGGCTATAGATGTTTCACATCAAAAACACAATATTGGATTAATTCATTTTGTATCATATTATTTATAGTACTATACTATGGTCTAATGATTGTTTGTATCTGTATTTATATTATTGTATCTATGCCCATTAAAACATCGTGATTTCTAGGTTTCATTCGTCCTGGTCCGTTCCATGACTGGTTCTATCGCGTCTCGGGAGTAGATTTCGAAAATCTTGACCACGACGAGGTCACTGAAGAACCAGAACCGGAAACCACTACCTCGCCACCTACCACCGTTACACCAGAACCTGAAGAAGAGGAAGACTCTGGCGAAGACTCCGAAGAGGATTCTGAGGAAGACCCGGATCTATCTGAATTGTTGAAGAAATTAGAGGTCAAAGTTAAGGTGAAGGTCAAGATTAACAAATTTAAGCTGAAGAAGAAGGTCCACATTAAGAAAAGAATTCCGGCACGCAGCCATTAAAAATTGTTAAGATAAATTGGAAAAATAAATTTTTGTTGCGCAATATTGGGTTGTTCCTATAAATAATAATCCTGATATATCCGTTTTCATTTCTTTTCTACCTATTTTTTAAGGAAGTATTTTTTGTAAGTTTAATTGCAGCATGAACACAACAGTTCTCTACTAGGCTTTGCAAAAGAAGTAAGTAACCTATGTTTTTGACTCGTACGGATTGTCAATGTCATGTTGAAAATCATAGAGTAATAATTAATGGATGTGCTACTATTCTTCCTATTGCTCTCAATTCTCACTTAAGCCTTGTTCGGACTAGTATGATCGTAATGAACTCGACTAATCAACAGGTTTGGACTTGTTTAGTCAGTGAGCCAATGAGCAAGGATGCGTGGTGGGAGACGCTACTCGCCCGAAAAAATAGAACAAAATGGATTGAATTGACTAAATTATTTACTAAATTTTTGGTGTTCAGACACATTTAGCTACTAAGTAACTCGGTACTCGACTAAAATACTTGCCTAGTCCGAACAAGGCTTTATAGTAATTCAGCAATTCTGGCAATGATTACCTGGAAGCCTCATTAAAAAATATTTGACATAGCCTTCCATGTCCAGATGACTAAGAATGATAATGAATTCTTGTGAACTATCATGAACATTCGCTAAGCATCTCTGTAGCATGCAAGTCAGAATAGGACAATCACTTCGATGGTTAAAATAAAACATTAGAAAAACAAAGAAAATTGGAAACACTACATAGTTTTAGTAAATCTTATATGTTTTACACATTTTATCATAACGGCAGATCTAGTCATTTCATTAGTCTACGTTAAGTAAGGCTTAGTTTTAAAATGACGTCATATGTCAGTGTCAATCACAAAATCAGAGACTGGGAACTTTAATATTCCGTTTTTATGTGTTTTTATACTGATTTTTAATGTTTTTTAACACTTTAGAAATGAAATGGAGAGTCCGAAAGCTAAAGGTATTTTTTAGAACATAAAAATATTAATTCTGTTGCTTTATTCATACAAATTTCAATGTTGTTATCATTCGCTGAATAAAGTAAGTTATTGCGTGGGTGATGTTGTATGTTTTACGGAAAACCTATTGTTTGTAAGCATTTTAAACATTTTTGCTTAAAACTATAGTCTATTAAGTATTTATCCACAAGTTTCTGTAAAAGAAGGAGTCGTTTTCGTCGATATATGAACACGTAAACATACAAGTTCACGTATGTAGTAGTGCTTTTTTAATATTAATACCATAAATACTTCCGCCTAAATATTGTGCTGCTAAAAAGCGGAGGATAATCGTTCCATATGACTAATGTAAGTTGGTCCGATATCATTAATGTGACTCGTAAATAATTGTATTCTTTTTATTAAAACAATGGAACATCAATTTTTACTTATGATAATTTGAAACCTTTAAAGGAGATGGTTTTATTAAATTAAACGTGGTTCCTAAAAATGGTCCGCAATCTATTTCCAATGCTGCATAGAGTCATAACACAGCATGTAATGAAATAATTAATAAATTTGACAATAATAATTTATATATCTTTCATTATCTGCTTTGATCTGGTAATGTGTGGATGATCGCAGCTGCTATACCATATAACTGAGAGTTCTACCTTCTTAAGGTGCTATGACATTAATATGGTGTGACTCACGTAACCATAGGTTGGGGGACTGCTAGATTTGCAGTTGTTAAAAGGAAATATTAAAACTTTGATGTTTCTTCTGTTTTTCCAATTTTTGGATCCTGTTAGTTAAACTGATACAATCATTTCAGAAGCTCTCAGTTGTTCAGGGTGTTTGAATGACATTGGATACAATGAGTATGTATCGGCACTGTCACAACATTGGCATAAGGATTGTTTTAGGTGAGTATTGAAATTCTAATTTGTTAAGGGATACTTCAAATGTCATCTCTGATAAAAGTTAATACAGTACTGCCCTACTGCAACATAATTGAAATTATTAAGGAAAAATGCATCAAACTATTGAACAGTTACTGGTATTAGAGCAAATTGTAAGCTGGTTCGTCTAATTTTTGATTGCAATAAATGAAAAGCCTTATATTGGCCTCGGAACTTGTTTTTAAAACCCTGCAACCTATCTTATACCTTTAAACGAGCAATTCTTGTATATATATAATCTGAATCTCGGAAACGGCTCCAATGATTTTCATAAAATTTAGTATACAGGGGATTTCGGGGGCGATAAATCGATCTAGCTACGATTTATTTTCAGAAAATGTTGTTTTATTTGTGTTTTCAATAATCAACTCTTCCCGATATCTTTTGGCGAATAATAATACTATTTTTCTTAATTGAGGGCAACTACCCGATTTAAAGACACAACAAGATGGCCCTATAAAAAAAAACCGGTCAATATCTACTTTGTTTTGATATCAGCTTAAAATAATGAAAACATAATTATATAGGTGCTCAGTGTGTGATGATCTGTTATCAACATGGTACTTTGAGAAGGCTGGTCTACTGTTCTGCCAGAAAGACTATTGGGCGAAGTACGGAGAGAGCTGTCAGCAATGTACACAGGTAATATTACTACTATTTTCAAGGAGACAATTTTTTTAAATTGCTTAGTTGGGCGGACGAGCTCACGGCCCACCTTGTCTAAAGTAGTTACTGGAGCTCATAGAGATCAACAATACAAATGCTGCGACTTTTGAGGCGTGAGTTCCAAGTCTTAGTTTTACGGCACATCAGCCCAAACCAGAATGCGTTACTGCTTCAACGCAGACTGATGGTATCCTGCAAATGCGGACTCGCAAGACGCTAATTACGCTAATTATAACAAATGCGGGTTTTTAGTTTCATGCGTTCTGGAGTGGAGACCGCGAACCGGCAAACGTAGTGTAGGACGCCCTCCTGCTAGATGGAGCGACGACCTGCGCAAGGCAGCTGGCAGTAACTGGATGCGTAGAACCGAAGATCGGGTTCAGTGGCGAGCTTTGGGGGAGGCCTATGTCCAGCAGTGGACTGCCGCAGGCTGATGATGATGATGATGATGATGATGACATGTGTTGTGCCTTTACTGTGGAAGTCATTCGTGAACATTTGTCAAGTACGTATTTCATTAGAACAGTTGGTACCTGCCAGCGGGATTCGAACACCGGCCCAGTCGCATCGCTCGATACGTATGCACTGGGCGTCTTATCCTTTAGGTTATACCTCCTGAAAGTCTTGACTTGACTTTAAAATCTATTTCGGACGTGCCTTGTCCTATGCTTACAATTTGTCATAATAATATTATTTACTAATCGTGTATTGGTCTTGTCTAATTTCCACAATGGCTAGACATATTCGGATTTCGGTCTCTATAATATACCGTATGCTTCCAATGTATCATCTATGGCCAGAACATCAACCGCTTTATGATTTCGGACTTTAGTCTGATGTCCTATTGCATTCCGTGTTTGTGTGGAGTGTTGACGCAATCAGCGTTGTCCAGGTGATAACCGGCCCGGTGATGGCCGCCGGCGAGCACCGCTTCCACCCGGAGTGCTTCGCTTGTCACTCTTGCGCCGCCCACATCGAGGATGGAGAGTCGTACGCTCTACTTGAACGCTCCATCTTATATTGGTAAGGACTTTATCAGTTTACGGAGGTCTGTGATCGGATGTGCCCCTGGAATTAAGAATGCTTTTTCCCCCTACCTAATCACTGGTAGCGTAAGAGGCTATTGCAATTTCACGCGGACCGGTAGATGAACTCACGTGCTCAACCTGAGACTATTGATAACATCCATATCAATATTTCTAGCATAGCAGATTCTACCACCAAATCGGAATGGCGACCTACTTAAAAATCTGGCGCGAAACTCATGTCTATGGGAATGCTTTTTTTTTATTTAAGCGATGAGAGACAAACCGATTCGGCTCTTCACGTTAACAGGATACTGGAGCCCATCGAACCTACAACGTGAACACCTTGGGAAGTGTTTCGAAGTACCTATAGCAGCCTATTTCTTCAAAGCAAACCTTCAAAGTGAATTGCCTCATTATGTTAAGGAAGGGAATAAAAAGTAGATATAAAAGTGTATTCATTTAGAAGGTATCGGTGACTGACTTCCTCGATCTACTGTTAACTCCCTGGTAGCAGATTACTTTTATATTTAAGACCAGCTGATTGTTTTCAATCTTAAATTTTGGTAGTGGAGTGTGTTTTGACAGGAACATTACCGCCCTCTCATATCCGATCCTGTGGACCGAATGGTAAACAGCCGACGTCGCCCTAACGTCATTACGGATCCTCCCGATCCACTAACGGTGCTTTTAGGTACCTTAAGCACCGGTCATAATTCTCGTCGATCCTATCGCTTGCGACGAAGGGCTCGACGAGTAAATTAACCCTCAGACACAGCCCACTGAGTTTCTCGCCGGATCTTCTCAGTGGGTCGCGTTTCCGATCCGGTGGTAGATTCTGCGAAGCACGGCTCTTGCTAGGACCAGTGTTAGCAACACTCCGGTTTGATCCCCGTGTGCTCACCTACATGTCAAAGAGAAGCTGAAATAGCCTCTCAAAGCTGGTCAAAGAACGGCCCAGGTGAACACAAAATAAATAATCTGATCCCCCCCAAGGGTACTTACGGCTTTGGCGGATGTCTATATTATTAACACTGTCATTTGACGGGTTATTATTAAGACAATCACATAAGTTATCCGTTCTCTTTGCGTGTATAGTTTGTCTGTGCGAATCATCGAGTTGGTAGCCCTCAAAGATATAGAAAGAGATGTTGGAGTGATCGTCTGGGTTCGATAGTTTTTATTATAACGGGGATACACATTTTGTATCAGTGGTCATTGACGACGCAAGAAGAAGAACTATCTATCTATCTCTTAAGTTTATGGCGTTTCCTTTTAGATTTCGCCAATGTCAAGTGTATTTAATACTCTGCTTTCTATAGCGGGCTTTGTGAACGAGCAAGGTCACAGATATTCACTAAGAATTAAGTGAGTAGCTAAGAATGTTTGATGACAGGATCTCTGTTGATTTACCTAAAACAATATACATACAATATATATACAACATATATATACAGGGGTTAGTTCGATAACAGACAGACAAACTACAGCTTAATATAATTATGGTTAATGAATGAACCAAGAAGAAAGGGACGACCACTGCAATTGACATTGACACATATTAGGCGAGTGACAGCTGTCAGTTGGTATTGTTATAAAGATGCGTTTAGGAATTATACAACACTAACAAGAGATAGACAGATTTGTCCGCTCCTAACATGCTACCTGCAGTCATTAGTCTACCCGAGATCGTGGTGTCTGCAAGAAGAACCGAAATATCGGGAACTCGTCAAATAGTTCTGTTTATAGTGTTTTGTTTTTGTGATAACAGCGGAAAATGCTACAGAGCTCCCCACACAAGAACGCACGCTATCCACGTGGTGGAGGTTCCGCCTAACGCGGTCCGAATATCGACAGGCGACAAGGGCTCGCTGACCGTCTCCGAGTGAGTGTGCTTTAATTAAATAAATTAAGCAATTGTGAAATTGCGAAATTTGCTCTTGATTCTTACGCGCNTAGTGTTTTGTTTTTGTGATAACAGCGGAAAATGCTACAGAGCTCCCCACACAAGAACGCACGCTATCCACGTGGTGGAGGTTCCGCCTAACGCGGTCCGAATATCGACAGGCGACAAGGGCTCGCTGACCGTCTCCGAGTGAGTGTGCTTTAATTAAATAAATTAAGCAATTGTGAAATTGCGAAATTTGCTCTTGATTCTTACGCGCTGATCAAATTAAGCCCCATTGTTGAATCTAAAAAAAAAAAAGTGTATTTGTTTTTTAAATCGATATATAAAGCGTCGGTTCTCAACCTTTAGTGTCGCGGTATAATAATTTAATTCAAATACATACTTACACGTTTCTTTAAAATTTGTAGGTTAAAATTTGCGTAATACATCATTTTTACCGTCAATGCCAACTTTGACGTTTACAATTGAATTTCCAAATCGATGGACCATAATGAAAAGTGTAGCCTGCGACGCTCAGGTTGAGAATCGATGCTCTAGTTTTCACTGGTGGTAGGACGTCTTGTGAGTCCGCACGGGTAGGTACCACCGCCCTGCCCATTTCTGCCGCGAAGCAGTAATGCGTTTCGGCTTAAAGGGTGGGGCAGCCGTTAAGCTTTAAAACGGTGACTAAGAACTCATGTCTCGAGATGGGTGGCGGCGTTTATGATGGGTCCGCCCATCTAAGCAGTAAACAAAACTCAATTTAAACTCGTTGGATCTTGTTAATGTTGACGGTTTCCACGCGTCAGTTCCCTTTGCGCCGGCAAGATGTCTCGACTGGCGCGAGTACTGGTGCGAGCGGCTCTCTCGCTCTGTATTCAGCTCACTTGTCATAGGTACTAATAACTTGAGATAGAATTCAGTAGTAGCGCAAACCTGAGGTAGAGGCTTGTATTAGTGTAATAAGGCACGCGAACTCACGACCCACTAAACGATAAGCGCTTGCAACCTTAATCATTATACCGTGCATGTGATTGCTCGCTTTGAGGCTAAAAAGAAGAGCAACAGACAGGCGATTGCCTAAAATTATGTGTGCGTGTCTTTATGACATTCTAAAGATAAGACTATTCAAAGGACGCCTTCGTAATTGCGTATGATATTACGATTGTGTATTTCTGATTCGATCCATCAAAGAAACTCCGAGCACGCCCCTTTCCACAGGACTTTGAACTTACGGTGCAGACCTTTTTTTTTTACGTACGGTAAATGTCCTTTAAGACGCAGTGAGCTAATACGGACAATTTCTTGAAAAAAAAAAGACAGCTGTCAATTCTGACTTATGTCATTATTCTTAATTCGAAATCTGTCATTATTCATAATTCGAATTCGTTCGTGAAACACTGAACTTAATAAATTGATTTGAATTGTCGGCCTGTACACGATCACTGGTTATTATGTTAGACCAGCCTTTCTCAAAGTGGGCGATAACGCCCCCTTGTGGGCGCTGCAAGCCTAAAGGGGGGCGGTAAGAGACCCAGAAAAAAAATGGGGGTGTTGTGTAGAGGCTTGGCAGACGATTTGTAATTTCATTTAGCAGGACTCTTAGACACCGACTGAGCTCTCGCTATAGTGGTTTTTAAGTAGGTTAAAAAATGGGGGGCGCTAAATAATAATTTATTCTCAAAGTGGGTAGTAGATAAAATAAGTTTGGGAGCCCCTGTGTTAGACGAAATTAATCACTGTTCTATCGCAAATTATTCCGTGTCTCTCGACTGGCAGGATAGCCGCTATTCTATAATAGTACAATTGAGTTTTCATTCTGAGGTCGGTGGCGGCATGCATAAATCCTTTTTAGTAATGACAATCGGAATTATGTGCTCATAACACATATATATGTATGCATTTAGAAAAAAATAAAAAATACATGTGTGCAATTCACACGTGGTAGAAGTGAAACCTTCCAAAATTAAAATACAATGATCCTAAACGTCTTAAGTATATGTAAAATTTTGTCATTAGTAAATAATTGTAAGGTAGCGCCCTCTGTGAATTGATATTTTAATTTCACGTATAATCCTAAATTAAAATTCACTACAAGAGCTTTCATACACACGTTAGTATTAAAAAATCTCACAGATGGCGCTGTATTAAATAGTATGTATATTTCTGTCTCATTCTTTGCTGGCTTCATCCTACACATTTTTGTATTTGTGTCTCTTACCTGTCGTTTTTTCCGTTGCATCCGGTTTGAAATCACAACGATTCTAAAGAAGTTTTCACTTCAAAAAGTTCGACTTTGCCAACGCGAAGTTCTCGCCCGTGACTCACAGATGACAAGTCTGTAGAGCATTTCAGACTTTGGCTACGATCCGTCACGCGTTAGAACAATGAATTCGTCATAGTGACTTTCGTTTACGTGCGCGGTTTGTTTGTTATATTATTAATCATTTTAGTCAGGGGGTTTTAGAAACCCAAACATATAATACTCGGCAAACTTCTTGAGCATTAGTTGACGTAGTGGGGGTAAGTTCGCGCATCGTACAATTACGTACAAAAATGTTATTAAGTTATTAAAAACAACATAATATGTATTTATTTATATATTTATTAGTACATGAACAAAAAATACAGGTTAATAATTGTAGTAATTTAATCTAGGGGTAAAATAGATATTCCTTCCATTAGGTCAAAACTAGAGCTGGTGCCAGGTCTTGGATCAGCTGAAGCTGAGCTGGTATTTGTAATTGTTTTTTCGCTATCATAATCATGACCATCATCATCATCACTACTTTCTTCATCCGTGTCGCAATCATCGTCAGCAAAAATTACAAACTCATCAGTGACTAAATCTACCACATGATCACTTTTTACATACTCCGCCTCAATCTCTTTTATCTTTTGACATAATCTACCCCATTCCGGAGCACCCATCGCCGCGACCTTTTCCTTCACTAGCTCTATTACTTTGCCAGTGCTCCAGTTGACATTTTTGCTACTNTGCTAACACGAACCCTAGCAAGAGTCGTGCTTCGCAGAATCTACCACCGGATCGGAAACGCGACCCACTGAGAAGATCCGGCGAGAAACTCAGTGGGCTGTGTCTGAGAGTTAATTTACTCGTCGAGCCCTTCGTCGTAAGCGACGGGTTCGACGAGAACGGTGACCGGTGCTTGAAGTACCTAAAAGCACCGTTAGTGGATCGGGAGGATCCGAGATGACGTGTTTTGGGCGACGTCGACTGCTTTCCATTCTGTCCGCAGGATCGGGAATGTATCGCAGCTCATACCTACGCATCATCATATTGTGAATATTAGCGCTATCTCGTTCTATACATGTACTAGGTATGTTTGGTTAATGAAAAAGAAAATTTATTTCACAAAAATAACAAACAATATGAGTTCACAGGCTATGAACATTTCATGTATTTATAGGAAAAAAATAAGCTTCAAGTATTTGTGTTTATAAAGCGTTATGAAAAATTGAAATTAATATGAAAAGTGATATTAATTACATGTTACAGCGAGATCACTTCATCTTACAGTAACGTTACGCGCCGCCGCCGCAATTAGGTCTAATTTATTGAATACGTGAGGTGAAAATCAAAACAAACAAATTCAGTGATTTTTATATTACAGAGGTAAAGGATCATCTATCATACTGCCAATTATCTTTATCTAAAGTCAACCTTGTTATATCTGGCGCTATATGTCCACCGTCTGCTTCTTATACAATAAATCGCGAGAAGGAAATGGCATCTATTTTTGCAAAAATCAAATGCATGCGAAATTCCGTGTAGTTTTTTTGTGTTTCTTTCAAAAATTTTAATAAATTTTAAGAATAAAAATAATATCCAGGTCCTATAATCAAAACTATTTTACAGTATGAAATGTTAAGTAAAATTTTAAAAAATATATTCGTCTTTATGACAGTAGTATGATACTGATATAGATATTTAATTTTGAAACTTATTATACTATTAATTGCATGTTCTTAAAATTCCATACTTTTTTATTTATTTAATGGCCTGGAATTGCGTCTTTTAAGATTTCTTTAACAATAAAAGGCCGAAGCAATATTTTTATACGAAAAAAGGAGTAAATTTAAATGAAGTTGATTTATTTGAAATTAATTAGTTCATCAAATTTTTTATTTTTTTTTATTGCTTAGATGGGTGGACGAGCTCACAGCCCACCTGGTGTTAAGTGGTTACTGGAGCCCATAGACATCCACAACGTTAATGCGCCACCCACCTTGAGATACATGTTCTAAGGCCTCAAGTATAGTTACAGCGGCTGCCCCACCCTTCAAACCGAAACGCAATTAAATTTAATTGTGTACTTTTATTAACTGTGAATTGAAAAGAAAGGTTTTTTTTGTTATAAAACAGCGCCTGTTTGATTTAAGAAGTAACGTAATTTTCTCAATTTTAAAAACGGTACTGACAATGAGTGCAAACATCTAGCTATCTCTTTCGCACGCCAACTTAGTGATGCCGTTGATGTCATAAGTCATTATCTGCGTCCTATTTTACTGATTTGATATATTTTCAGGTATTTCCAAACATTACTTATGTGGATACTTGGTCTTTTTTTGTTTTTTTTTTCCTGGAACTCGTAATTTTAACTGTAATTTTATTTTTAATAACCAATTTAGAGGCTCGCTCGCTATGTATGTACATAAAAATGATTTTATTGTAAAAATGCGTGGGGTGCTTTTCAGGATAATATCAATAACCCTTCTACTCATATCTGTTCATAAAATATTTATATCACATTTTCTTACACTATTTTAAATTCAAATTTATTAAAATTTATTTTCTATTTTTTTGTTGGATTTTCTATTAAAGCGTATTTTATTAGTTATTTTAAACTATTATTTATTTTTCATTTTTTAGTAAAATTTCGAAATTTTTTTCCAAATTTTTTATTATATTTAAAATATTTTAATATTGAATTGTGATCGGTCCTTAATAAGTATACCAAATTTCGAGTTAATCCGACGTTTTGAAGGGGCTCAAAATAATGTTAAAAGATTCCGTTACAAACATACATACGTCTGAAGCTAATAAAAGCGTATTAAAAAAAAACACTTTCGCGGAAGTTATAATCAAGTAACTTTGAAGGTTCAAAGGCGTTTGTATCAATAACATCGCAATAAACTTACTTAAATTGTAAAGGTGAACGACCTTGCATAAAGTCAAAGCTAGTAAATATATACGGCATAAATACTAAAATTTAATTTTAAACTTTTCCTTCTCAATTACCGTAATAAGATGACTAATGCATACGCCGAGTCAACGGTACGGTGTAAATCGAACAAAACGTATTGAATAAATTGTATTATAATGTTATTTAACCCTTTTAGTGCTAATCTAATCTGCTAATTTTCACAATTTAGCAGAAGTTGCTAAAGGATTTTTGAAAGAAAAAAAAATACCTAACAAAAAAACTTTAAAAAATATATACAAAAATCAATGCTAGATAATTAATATACATATGTGGGATCGCGGTGTACAATGAAATTAGCGAATTTGTTAAATTTTATTTAATCATCGGCTCACAAAAATGTACGTCTTTTCTTATTTTATCTTAATCATTCTGTCATATACTTCATGCACCATCTGTCATCTGTCAGGTCGATGTGGCCAATGGCTACACCTAATTGTTCCCATATATATATTGTTACCATTTTTTGCTTACATAATAAGTGATTATCTAATAATACCTTAAATATATTATCTCATTTGTTGTAAAGAACACGACTTATATAAGGATAAATAGATATTTTTCTTATGAATAAATAGATTCCTTTTTTTTTTATAAAAAAATAAATATTTAGGCAAGTATTATTTATTGTTGGCAAGAATTTTTTTTGTGGCTCTTTAAAAACTTTCAGATTTTGTAAATTGTAATTTTTGGTTCTTGCGACTCAAAAGATTGCCGACCTCTGGCCTAGGTGAATGTGAATAACAACAAACACAGCCAAGACACGAAAACACAATTAAAATCTATTCAGAAACAAGGATGTTGTAAAAGTTTTAGTTTCGTGCTTGACAGATACCGCACTGTTTGTACAATGACGTCAGGGTTCAAGAGCGCGATATACATTTATCGTATAAAATCACGCGTCACCAGTGTCAACAATAACTTCAAAACGCTTATATGTACGCTAATTTAAAATATTTACTCCTTACGCGTTTTACTTTCATATTTTTCGTTATTAGATCCATAAAATCGAATATCCCTGAACTTGGCTTAACAATCTTTAATATTGACAAAAATTGTCTAGCTGTGCAAGCTGTGTAAAGCTGTGCAAGCTCGAGATATAAGAGATACGAAATAAAAAGCGGTTTTTTGCATAAAGTTCAATCGATGTTACATAGATATTTTTAGGTCTGGTCATGGTCGGGATGGCGGCAAGGTTGATGCAGCAGCTGTACCCTCATCTCACGCATCCGGCTGAACTGAGTTCATTATAATAAAATACCTTTAAATAACAATTAAATATACTGAGACCTTAGAACTTATATCTGAAGATGGGTGGCGCATTTACGTTGTAAATGTCTACAGGCTCCAGTAGCCACTTAACACCAGGTAGGCTGTGAGCTCGTCCACCCATCTAAGTAATAAAAAAAGTCTCTACGACACGCGTACACACGTACTGGTGATTGATTGTGGTATGTGGCAAGGCATCACCAGTATCTCTACCACAAAGTAACCACGTATCTTGTTTAAAAGTATAGTCGTTGTGCAACTGAGATTTGTATAGTATACATAGTATGGGCCGTGGGTTCGTCTGTCGATCTGTGTTTATTTACGCCAAGCGAGCAGATCAAACGACTTGCTCCGATTCGTGGTATCGGGTGCTCGTAAATTTTGTAGCATGTGTAGCTCTGTGCAGTACCTTGTTCGTATATAGAGGCCGTTTTCCAATTACAGCACAAGAGCGTTAACCATTACTTAATGGTAGTTTTCCAATTACAGAGCATAATGCGACTCAGTGACGCACAATGCCGAATTATGCTGAAACTTAGTTAAGTATTATGCCGCATAATGCGCTCTTGTGCTGTAATTGGAAAACGGTCAACATTGCGGCTTTGTAATAATAAAAAATGTTTGGTTATTTAGCAGTAAATAGTTTTGAGGGTAGTATTCATTGGTTTCCTTTTGTTTTTGCTACAAGTCTTGGTGTTTTGTGATCCTCATGTTTGTTCCTGCATTATTTAGTACGCTTTAAGCTCCTTTATTAGTTAGATGATACAGAAATTCGGATGTAATTCGGTTATAAGTGCATAATATCGAAGGGTGAAAGGTTGTTTGGTTTAATCGACATTTTTGCAACTTTGCGGGAGAGTCATTTGTAGTTTAAAATTTAGAAAAAAATATTATAACAAACAAACTATTTCAGCTGTTTGAATGGCGATAAACTTAAATGAAATTCAACTGGAAACATTGAACTGTTGATGATAATACGAAATAAAACAGACATTACAAATATTACTGGTGGAAGGACCTTTTGTGAGTCCGCGCGGGTAGGTACCACCGCCCTGCCTATTTCTGCCGTGCCGTGCCGAGCAGTAATGCGTTTCGATTGGAAAGTTGGGGTGGCCGTTGTAACTATACTGAAACCTTAGAAATCATATCTCAAGGTCCAGTAACCACTTAACGCCAGGTGAGCTGTGAACTCGTCCACCCATCTAAGCAATAAAAAAGGCGCTTAAATTAAATAGCCTTTTCATCCCTCGATATTAAATTAATTAGCTGGCTGCTCTATCTAGCTGCCACGTCTTTCAGGAAACTGTTTTTTACTATTTATGTCCGACGGCAGGATTGATTCGTCGTGTGGCCTGTTGACCCTGCACATCGGCGATCGAATTCTGGAAATAAACGGGTCCCCGGTCGGGAATCGACCCGCGGACGACGTGCAGAGGGCGCTCGGCCGACCCGACCAGATTATACAGGTGGATATTGATTTTACGGATATTGCTCGAATGTACGAGAGCGTGATTGTCGCTAAAGCAGAAAACATGAAACGAACAATGGCTTGTGCAGCTGTTCCTTTAAACTGGATCTCAAGGTTCACCTGGATCCAGTTTAAAGGCTGGAGCAGCTACCACATGAGCGATTGACACATGGTCTTCAAATCTCAAGGATAACCACTTAATATCGGGTCGAATGTTTTTATTTTATTTTTTATTGCTTTTGTAGGCAGACGAACATACGGCCCACCTGATGGTGAGTGGTTACCGTCGCCCATGAACGTCAGCAATGCCAGCGGCAGAGCTAAGCCGCTGCCTACCAATGTGACTTCGTTCTGCCATTCCCAAGTTGCGCATTGACTTACGAATATTCCTCCTCAAACTTTGGTTTTATACTTTTTTTTCCTACCTATGCTGATAGTCTTGAGAGGATATTTCAGCTTCACCCTAACATGTAGGTGAGCTCACGGGACTCAAACCGGAGTGGTGCTAACATTGGCCCTAGCAAGAGCAGTGCTTCGCAGAATCTACCACCGAATCGGATACGCGACCCACTGAGAAGATCCGGCGAGAAACTCAGTGGGCTGTGTCTACGGATTAATTCGCTCGTCGAGCCCTTCGTCGCAAGCGACGGGTTCGACGAGGACTTGAAGTCGGTTAAGTGAAATAAGAAGCCGGTGCTTGAAGTACCTAACAGCACCATTAATGGATCGGGAGGATCCGTAATGACGTGTTGATTCGTTTTATACAGTTTTACTCCAGCGTGCAAGCAATGTGCCCTATGTACCACAGACGTTTTAATGTGTAAACGAGACAGAGCATAACTCTGTTTCATGTCTCACACAGCTGACCATCGAGCACAGCCCTGAAACGGTAAGTCGCCCTGCATCCATGTGCGCACCGAGGGACACGGAGAAACCCTGCAAGGTAACGGAGGGGGTCATGGACAAGGGGACCTATGAAGGCAAGAAAGAGAGGCTGTTCAAGAGAAAGGGAGAGGATGGGGGCAAGCCCAGGATGATGAAGCGGAGACAGACGCCGTCCAGTCCGCTGCTCGGCGACAAAGAGAAGAGCAGCAGCATGTCCAAGCTGTTGGACGTGTGAGTCAACCTTCTGTATCTTGAAGCAGTGTCATAGGCTGTGTGCAGACAGTGGAGCCCGTGGACATAGATGCCGTCACTCGCCTTGAGATATGAGGTCGAAGTCTGTTAATTGTATTTTAAATTACTGGTGGTAGGACCTCTTGTGAGTCTGCGCCGGTAGATAACCACCACCCCGCCTATTTCTGCCGTGAAGCAGTAATGCGTTTCGGTTTGAAGGGTGGGTCAGCCGTTGTAACTATACTTGAGACCTTCGATATTCTGGATCCTTCGATATTCGTTGGACTATTCGGCGATGTATGGCGTTACTCTTACCGGCGCAACAATATGATTAGTGTTAAGCTCGTTTGTCTGGTCTGGCAGCGTGGACGGCGAGGAGTCGAACGGCGTGCAGGGCGACCTGAGCCGGGCGCGATCCTTCCGCGCCGACACCAGCTCCGCCGGGCAGAAGGTGTTCCGCGCCTGCGACCTGCTGCAGGTAATGCTGCGCGCGGTGCTGACCACGGACCACACTCGCTTCAACTAGAGCCGCCTTCATTTAATCCACATGTTTCTTTTTATTGCTTAGATGGGTGGACGAGCTCACAGCCCACCTGGTGCTAAGTGGTTACCGGAGCCCGTAAACATCTACAGCGTAAATGCGCCACCCACCTTGAGGTATAAGTTCTAAGGTCTCAGTATAGCTACAACGGCTGCCCCACCCTTCAAACCGAAACACATTACTGCTTCACGGCAGAAATAGGCAGGGTGGTGGTACCTATCCGTGCGGACTCACAAGAGGTCTTACCACCAGTAAGACTTTTACGCTTTTGTTAGCTTCAGACGTATGTATGTGTGTAACGGAATCTTTGAACATGATTTTGACCCCCCTCAAAGCGTCGGATTAACTCAAAATTTGGTATACTTATTAAGTACCGATGACAATACAATACAAAAAAAAATTGAAAAATTTTTTTTTAAAAATTTAAATTCAACTAAAAAATGAAAAATAAATAATAGTTTAAGAAAACTAACATAATACGCTTTTATAGAAAATCCAATAAATATGAATTAAAAATAGTGTAAGCAAAAATGATTTTATTGTAAAAAAAAGCGTGGGGTGCATGGTATAAGTAGTTATAAATATTTTATGAACAGATATGAGTAGAAGGGTTATTTTGATAATATCCTGAAAAGCATCTAAGCAATAAAAAAATCATTTTTGTTGTTTTGTTTGTTAGTTTTTTAAACTATTAAGTACCAAATTATTCTTTTTTATGCTATTTTTAATTCAAATTTATTGGATTTCCTATAAAAGTGTTTTTTTGTTAGTTTTTTTAAACTGTTATTTTTACTTAGACGTCACAAGTCCACATATTAAACAATTCCCAGGGCGAGTTGCTAGGCTCCGGATTCTTCGGCGAGGTGTACAAGGTGACCCACCAGGACACCGGTGAGGTCATGGTGCTCAAGCAGCTGTACAGGGTTGACGAGGAAGCGCAGAGGAACTTCCTCAAAGAGGTAACCAGACTGTTTGACTCTTGTACGGCACATTTTATGAGAGAGAGAGAGAGAGAGTATTCTTTATTGTACACACAAAAACTAATAAACAGTACGATACATTAAATACAAAAATGTACAATTGGCGGTCTTATCCCTAAGAGCGATCTCTTGTACCAATCTAGTGAAATATATATATATATATATATATATACATACAGATATGTACACGTACATATACACATACATACATATATGTAAATATACATACAACTAATACACAATTTATGACCATTCCTTTGTGGTTGAAGCAGTAAGTTTACGGAATGCACTACCCTTAAGCATCAAACAATCGTCCTCGCCGGAACAAAGTTCAAATTAAACTCGCACTACCTTGCACAATAATATGGCTCCTACGATATAACTGTATAAATTGCTACTTATTAAGCAATAAAAAAAAGGTGGCGGTGCTGAGGTCCCTGCACCACCCGAACGTGCTCCGGTTCGTCGGGGTCCTGTACAAGGACAAGCGACTGCACCTGGTCACCGAATACGTGGCCGGAGGAACGCTGCACCAGCTCCTGCAGGTACGTCTTATTGTAATGCCGATAAGGTTTGGTTTCCAATGGTGTGACCGAAGTCTCTAAAGGAGATTAGGGAGTGGGGCGCGCGGCGCTGACGACAGCCTCCTTGCTGCCTTCGAGTTATTTTGGGTGCGATCTGACCCTTCCATCGGGTTCAGTTCGGTCTAACAACCTCTGATGTCGAAAAGTATGTTTTGCTCCATATTATCTGGAACCGCTGCGTTCATCGACAGTGCGTTTCCAAAGATCTTTCTTGCCACGTACCATCCGGCTTTGGAATGAGCTCCCCTCCACGATGTTTCCCGAGCGCTATGACATGTCCTTCTTCAAACTAGACTCGCAGAGAGTACTTAACGATAGGCAGCGGTTTGGTTCTGCTCCTGGCATTGCTGACGTCCATGAGCGACGGTGACCTCTTACCATCAGGTGGGCCGTATGCTCGTCTGCCTACAAAGGCAATAAATACGTGTTATATATATTGGACAAAGTTGACTATTCGACCTCATAACTCTCTCAACTTTGATGAGGTTGGATTCTCAACTTTATGACATAACGATTGTGTCACTCTTCAAACTAGGAGGCGTGAGTTTGTACCATAAATACGTAGGGTGATGGTAACACAGGGATTTCAGTTGCAAAATAAAGTTGCGACAGTAGGTCTGGGTCATACCGGAAAGACTTTTCATTTAACATGATTAGAGTACAAAGTGCGAACGATAATAACAATGTTCGAAGTAATGATGTCCCTAATTCATTCAATAAACAGCTTACTCAATGGTGAAACGTCATTTTGTAGCAAAATGAAAATGTTTTCTGCTCAGTCAATACCAAAGTCAAAAAGTATTGTATGTCAACCACCAAGCCTAAATATCATAGTGGCTTTATCTCCAAGAGCAGCATTTCACCACAGCCAAAAGAAGTACCGAGCAAAGGATCCTAGCACCTTTTTTTATTGCTTAGATTGGTGGACGAGGCCACAGCCCACCTGGTGTTAGATGGTTACCGAAGCCCATAGACATCTACATCGTAAATGCCGCCAACCACTTCGATACATGAGTTCTAAGGTCTCCGTTTTTACAATGCAACGACTGCCCCTTTTTTTTCGGGTCGGTCCCGAACCTCCAAGAGTGCGCGCGGGCTATGTGGGACTTGAGGGTCTGCAGATGTTGAAAGCAGACCGCGTACGCAAGGATATTTTAGGGCCCTACCCACCAAACGATTTCCCTTACACTCTCTCCGCATTCTGGGTCAGAAGTCAGGAATAGTAGGGGGGTTTTGGCTGTCAACACTACAACCAGACTGACGTCCTCAATCGACCTCATGTTTTGTGGGCAGGACCCGTCCGCGAGCCTGAGCTGGGCGTGCCGCGGGCGGCTGGCGCGCGACGTGTCCCGCGGGGTGGGCTATCTGCACCGCCGGAACGTCATACACCGCGACCTCAACTCGCACAACTGTCTCGTGCGTGAGGTAACTGTCACAACGGACTCGGGAACTGTACTAAACACACCAACACGCGTGACGTCATTTGGGGTTAAAGTAACGACCAGATGATCACTGGACTTTTTGGCGCGAACGCGAAGAGTGAAGTTGTGTGTTTGTTCTTCAGTTTTAAATGTGTAATAACGGTGGTTTATTGACTTTTTAGTATCTGTAAAAGTGCACAAATTTAGGAAAATGAAACAAAGCCGCTGGACGTAACTTCTCGGGATCCTCCAAAAAGTCCACTGAAAAAGTCTCAGTGAATGACCATCATTTTACTGAGGTTATATTTCATCCCATTTCATCTCATCTCATTTCATTTCATGCCATATTTTATTTTAATCAACTTCATTTCATTTCATAATATCATTTTTCATATAAAACTGTTTTCATTAAAATTAAAATAAGACTTGATCTAAAGGTCTTAGTTACCAGGTCAAAAAATCCCTTAAAAAAAGATGATAACTAAACAAACACTACTATTAACCACATAATATGATTGTGTTTTTAACCTGTGGTCGCCGAGTGATCGAAATCAACGATAATTAATTGAAATTATAAGTTTGAACATTATCATGATTCTATTGTTAAATTCTATAATCACAGATTTTGCTAAGACCACATTCTAGACAAATAATATTAAATACAAACAATATTAATCTACTCTCAATTTGACCACATACTTAAACAAAAAACAAAAGAGAATAATCGTGTATCTGTCATCTGTCAAATACATGGTAGTGTGTATAATGTTATTTATTTTTATTTTTATTGATTGATTGAATGTTGATTTAATGTATTTTGTATGCATAATTTGAAAAAAATATTAGCATTCTGCACTCCTTCTCTATGTTCTCGTATAAGTGTGGGAAATGTCATACTCCTTCGTCTGCGCAAAAAGGGCAAAAATCGTAAAAAAAGGTACAAAGCTTATGTTTTACCTGTTAATATTGTTGCGCGCTGGGGTTCGGGATAATTAAAACTTCCACCGAAGCATAAGTTAAACTCTATTTAACACTTAAAACACTTACAGAACACTTTACACTTCGTAATTCGCTTCATCCACTTCGCTTCAGGTGATCCGTTCGCTGTTTCGCTTCGAGTAGATCTTCCGATTACTTACTGCCTTCGTGTCATCTCTGCAACGCTTTTATAGTCGATACGACATCCCTAGAATTATCGAGAACATTCCTGACATGTCGAGTAGTTTCGATATGTGTTTCCGCTATTTCATAATAGATGGCGTTGCACTTCTCGAGCGTTCTCGGTTTTATTAGTTCTTTTGATACTCGCTTCTGCTATTCGACGATAGATGGCGTTACTCTTACCGGCGTAACAATATATAGAAAACGTATGAAAAATAAAGGCCTCCGTTTTCTATTTCTAATAGAATAATCTTGTCCTGCAGGATCGCACAGTGATTGTAGCTGATTTCGGTTTGGCTCGCATCGTCCAAAGGACCACGGCGCACGGATCCCTAAAGCGGAAACGATACACAGTGAGTTTGGGATTCCAAGAATATTTAATGTAGTAATAATTACCATCACCCCGCCAATTTTTATTTATTTATATTATTATAATTTTCTTATTGTTTAGATAGGTGGACGAGCTCACAGCCTACCTGGTGTTAAGTGGCTACTGGAGCCCATAGACATATACAACGTAAATGCGCCACCCACCTTGAGATATAAGTTCTAAGATCTCAGTATAGTTACAACGGCTGCCCCGCCCTTCAAACCGAAACGCATTACTGCTTCACGGCAGAAATAGGCAGGGCAGTGGTACCTACCCGCGCGGACTCACAAGAGGTTATACCACCAGTAAACGCTCTGAAAGAGTCATCATATTGGACATGCAGGGTATTGTAGTGTGTGAGTGGTCGCCAGGTCGTCGGCAACCCCTACTGGATGGCCCCCGAGATGATGAACGGCAACGTGTACGACGAGAAGGTCGACGTGTTCTCCTTCGGGATCATACTGTGCGAGGTAAGCCGCGGTCCACCGTGCGGTCCCCCCGTGCGGTCCCCCCGGCGGTCCCCTCGTGCGGTCCCCCCGGCGGTCCCCTCGCGCGGCCCCCTAAACTTGTTTCCTTCTGTTTGTCAACCGATATGTTATTGTTATTCATTGACGCGCTTTAGGCTGTCAATGTTTAAAAAAAATTGAGAACCGAGAAACTTGTCCATAAAAAAAAGACATGTGTGCAATTCACACGTGGTAGAAGTGAAACCTTCAAAAATTAAAATACAATTATCCTAAATGTCTAAGTACATATATGTAAAATATTGTCATTAGTAAATAACTGTAAATCATCCTTTATAGTATGAGGTAGCGCCCTCTGTGAATTGATATTTTAACTTCACGTATAATCCGAAATTAAAATTCCCTACAAGAGGTTTCATACACACGTTAGTATTAAAAAATCTCATAGATGGCGCTGTATTAAAAATAATTAACTAGTAAACGAATATACAAACCAATATAGCGTGTATTATTTCTCGATATCCCTTATTCTCTCTCTAGTTCAATCTTTCTCACTATAGCTCTCTCCCACCTCTCGCTCCATGGCACAATGCATGATACGATGTTCGCTCTGTCTTACTCTCTCTCAATCGGTCTCGATCGCTCTCTCTCTCTTTTTCGATACTTCCGTTGCATACCTGCGTGACGTTACATCTGTAAAAATTTTACCCTCATTCGCCTAAAGAAGATTCACTTCAAAAATCAAAAGAGAATATGTTATATACAAAACGAATCTAAATCTTGAGGTGTCAGTGATTATGGTCGAATTTCGATCAACAAGCGAACAATAGTTACGTTTTAGTTCGGTGAGAGGTGTGACCGCGCGCTGGGACGCTAGGCTACCTGACTACTACTCTATTGCAGATAATAGGCAGGGTGTCGGCGGACCCCGACTGCCTGCCTCGGAGGTCGGACTTCGGCCTCAACGAGGAGGTGTTCCTCGAGAAGTTCTGCGCGTCCTGCCCCGAACCCTTCTACAGGATTGCCTTCTTGGCCTGTAATCTGGACCCGGACGATAGGTAATTTGCTTTCCTGGTCACGGTGGGACTAACGAGCTCGTAGTCTAAGTACCAACATATTTTTTAAGGGTTTTTATGACCTGGTAACTAAGAACTTTAGGTCAATTCTTATTTTAATTCATATTCTTGTTTTTATGAAAAATGATAATATGGAGTGAAATGAAATGAAATGAAGATGATTAATTTGAGATAACATTAATCAACTGGGATGAAATTAAATGAAATGGGATGAGATGAGATGATATGCGATGAAATATAATATCAGTAAATGACCACCATTTTACTGAGATTTTTTTCAGTGGACTTTTTGGAGGATCCAGTGAAATTACGTCAAGCGGCTTTGTTTCATTTTCTCACATTTGTGCACTTTCACAGATATTAAACAGTTAATAAACTATTGTTATTACACATTTAAACCTGAAGAAACACGAAATAGAGAAAATAAAACAAATCACACAACTTCACTCCTCGCGTTCCCGCCAAAAAGTCTCAGTACCGATATAACCGCGATGCGACCCATAGACCTGACAACCACGAGGCCCAGTGTTGTGTACCGACTGGCTGCTCTGTAGCAGGCAGAGTGTGCTCACGACGCCCTATATCATTGATAGAAGTCGGTCGATGCTGGGTCCTCTCGCTGTTGCCCTTTCCCTGGTGGATCCCCGAGCGCCACACAAGGGGACCGCAGCCTGACTCCGCACCGATCACCTCATGTCTCAAGGTCAACTGGTCCGTGAACTCGTTCATCGTGAATAGATGCAAAAAGCTCAATGTAATTAACAATGCCATTTCCAGACCGCCTATGGAGGTCATAGAAACGTGGCTCGAAGCGTTAGTGGAACAGCTTTCTGAATCGGAGCTTAAAGAGAATCTAGATGTGCTTTGCAACGACCTCGACTCCCCGACCGAGGGCTCTCTAGTCAAGGTAAGTTATTAGACGCAAAAGCGATAATGTGATGCAGATACAGTAGGCGCGCTAGTTCGTGTCCATCCTAAGGAATGCGGCGGTGCTGTGACCTAACTAATTATGGAACTACTACTGATTTAGTCAACAGCTGTCAATTCGGTTTAATGTAACTTAAGATAATTTTGCGAATTGTGAAATAAAATAAATGTGATAAGTAATAACTTATTTATTTCTAACAGAGAAAAAAAATTTTTTTGTTCCAATACAATCACTTATCAGATGAAAAGACAACCGACAGATCAGAGTCGGAATCAGTATATTTTTTCAGTCGATTTTTTTCTACTTAAACTTGTTGAAAGCGGAGTAGTCATGGTTTAGTCATAATGAAATAACACAATAGCGTTAACGTAAATTTTCGATATCGATAAGCGCGCGTTACAACCGTCAAGGACAACACTCGACGTCAGACAAATGCGGGGAGGCGGGCGGGGGCGGGGCGAGCTGTCCCCCGCGCGTCGTTCTGGCCCCGATGGACACCAACTCGCGCGCATACTATAGATGGGTCGGGGACAGAAGGAGAATTAAATTTGAAATTGGTTACAGAGCGATTCTCAGTCAACGTTAGAGGAGACGCGCTCGATATCGTACCGGCCGCTGGTGCCCGTCGCGCTCGGCAAGTGCGTGTCCGCCTCCCAGGTGGGGGCGGGGGGCGGGGGGCCCGCGCGGGGGGGCCGCTGGGGGCGCGCGCACAGCCACCAGGCGCTGCACACGCCCGGGTACATCCTGCAGGCCAGGGGACCCACCATCGACATCACCCAGGTGCGCACTACTACACTCCTAGCGTGCTCGTGTCGGACGCGCGGCGCTGTTGTGTTCATTGTCACCTATAATCTTGCACGAGATGTTTTAGTAATGTTTGCTGTGCTTATACTACTGCTCAGGTGGACGACATTAGCGAGTGGCTAGAGCCGACGCCCCTCAAGCGATCACAGCCAGACCCTCAGCTGCACCGGCCGCGACACCAGGTTCTCCTGCCGGCCTTCCTCAGGAACCAGTCCGTGGAAGAACTGAGACCAAAGCACGTGCCCAGCGACGACTCTTCGGATGACAGTGACGGCGGCGTCACCAGCGCCGCGCCGCAGCCCGCCGTCACGTACCGGAGCCCGGCCGAGCGACGCCTCCCCGAGGTGGACGTGCGCCGGTACAACATCGACTTCCTGGCCGGCAGCCCCGTCATGGCGCAGGGCATCAAGAACATACCAAAAATAGTCGAAAGAGACAAAACCAATGAGAAAACCGGTTTCTTCACCAAAAAACTGTTATCGCCGAAATTGAGTCGATTATTCAGACCGAACGCGACCGAGGCGGGGGGCAAGCCTCACGCCGACCTCAACAAGTCCAACAGCACGTTCTTCGTACAGCAGCCGCCCGCCCTCGGCCGCTCGTCCTACAGGATACGGCCCGTCGGGGACGCCGGCGCGGACGTGCTGCAGAGCGACATCAAACTGGCCAGCATGGGGAGGCCCATGACGCCCACGCTGAGGAGGTGTCCCGACCGCCCGGACCTCGCCGACGCCCGCTTCAGCTGTCGGGACTTCAGAACTAAGATGATCAGCAACGAGCACGTCAAGGCGCACATCACGAGGGGCGCCCCGGTGGGACAGCCGCCCGTACAGAGGAGGAGGAACCCGGACAAGAGCGAGCCCCGGATGGGCATCTCGCGGAGCAACTACGTCAGTCTAGCCAACCTAAAGATAAACAATAAGGCGAACGGTCTGGATGTCACCGAGAGAGCCAGACGCGAGGTCAACGACAACTCCCCCGTGGAGAGNCACGTCAAGGCGCACATCACGAGGGGCGCCCCGGTGGGACAGCCGCCCGTACAGAGGAGGAGGAACCCGGACAAGAGCGAGCCCCGGATGGGCATCTCGCGGAGCAACTACGTCAGTCTAGCCAACCTAAAGATAAACAATAAGGCGAACGGTCTGGATGTCACCGAGAGAGCCAGACGCGAGGTCAACGACAACTCCCCCGTGGAGAGGGTCGTGTGACGGGGGACGAGGGGGGTTGGGGGGGGCTTGCTTCCTTATGTGTTCGAGGAATGTCAGATAAATATACATCTATACATTCAGATTGTTAGTAATATAACTAACTGCACGTTACAAATTATAATCTTGCCATTTTGAAAAATATACAAACTGGATATTGTATTGACATTTAAAATGAACATAGGTCACGGATGGACATAGGTTCGACTATTGCCACAACAAAGGACCCTTCTGACCTTCGTTGGGTGTAGTTAGATATTGACAGTGCCACTGCCATTGGTCACCTTTGATTGTCTGCAATATTCAGGCTACGGAATTATATAAATGTTGAAACTTTGTACACGTTACTATTATTATTGTTGAAAGGTTTATAACCATTAATGTATACGCGGAATTTTAGCATTAATAATATATTACACTCACGGCGTCGGACCATGCGGCCTGGCGCCACTGTCCTGTCTTATTTACCGCAAAGTTATGCCTTTAATGACTAGCCGGCTGTCGTGTCCGCGCGGTGGGGACCCGTGACCAGTCTCCCAGAGAAGGGTGCCTAACGTTGGGCCAACACTGGTCGGCCATGTTGGCCTAACTACTCACTCTCTAACTACTACTGGCACTAAAAAAAAAATCGGCCGACAAACAGACGAGAATATAGCACTTACTGTGTTGGCATTCATTAGTTGTATTGGTTACAATCCAAATAGATTACGACGTTAGGTTGCGTACTTCGGTTCGGTAATTTGTGTACTTCGGGCCTTAGAAAGAGAGGATCGGGTTTTTAGTTGATTCGTAGAGCGCCGTCTCTCTCGCACGATACGTTATAGCAAGGAAAGGTATTCTTGCTTACGCGGTAACGCTTAGCAAATCCTGTTTGGCTTGGATTTTGAAATTTTGATCGGAAACAATATATTAAAGCACTTTTTTTAATAGTCCTTTAACACTAATCATACCAACACTCACAGGTACCTATTTCTATCATAGCAGGTAGATAACTGGTATACAACAAGTATTACTCAGAATAAACAAAACCAAACAAAAAAAAAAGTATAATAACTGTAGATTAATTAGTAAGAAAAAGGCACGAAGTAAAATGTGCAAATGTGGACTGTGGCTTTTTTTGGAACCGGTGGTAGAGTTAACATTTTCTTTTACATTTTGACATTCAACAAGTGTGTTTTTGATGACATCCAAGTTGAAATAAATGATTTTGAATTTGAATTTGAATTTGAAAAAGCATTAAAATGATACCAGCATTTTCAATGCAAAAGTTCAAAATGGGGCATTTGACCCGTTATGGTATGTTTAGTGTTAGTCTTAATATACCACAGTCTTCGATAAGTCGTTAATTATCTTTTAGTCTCAAAACTTAATTACTTCTTAGTTTGTAATTTTATTATCAAATGATTAAATCTTTTTTCGTAATTAATTTACTAACGTTATTTTTCTTAGTTGTAAAACCGTTGACACGCTCCGTAAGAACGAATAGTTTTGATTAGTATCTTAAACGGGGAAAGTTCTAGACTAGTCTTGCGTAGACCAATAAAACAGTTTTTGCAAAAATATTTCTACACAAAAAACTCTACGCCTCGGGTCCAATTGCGATTATTGGTTGTAGTAAATATCTTTATTAAATACAGACTACTGAGTTTCTCGTCGGATCTTCTCAGTGGGTCGCGTTTCCGATCCGGTGGTAGATTCAGCGAAGCACCGCTCTTGCTAGGGTCAGTGTTAGCAACACTCCGGTTTGAGACCCGTGAGCTCAGCTATACGCTAGGGCAACGCTGATATAGCCTCTCAAGGCTATCAGCATAGGTAGGGAAAAAAATTGAATATATTTGATACTCCTCCAGTATCGAGTACCCGCTTGTTCATGTCGGTATATTCTTCAAGTTGTATTCATGTCTGATATACATACCTTTTCGTTCTGTGTGCTTAGTGAGAGCTTTTTAACGTTCTCGATAGCGTAAAAGTTAACGCAAATTTGTATGCAGTTCGAACAGCGCCCCTAGCGGCAAACGTAAGCAAACATTCCAACTCCATACAAATCTTTTTTTTTTTCGGTCCGTGGGCCGAACCTCCTACGGGGTGCTCGCGCCTAGGGTATATGGGACTTAACGATCTGCAAAGTGTTGGGAGCAGACCGCGGGCCCAAGGAATTTTAGGGTCCTACCGCACTAAACGACTCCCCTGCACTCTTAAACCCGACGTCCCGATCTCCGTCCGGGGTCAGAACCCGGTCAGAGTAGGGGGGTAACTCCATACAAATCTGAGTTAACTTTTACGCTATCGAGAACGTTAAAAGACTCGCACTAAGCACACTGGTACCGAGAATGTTATCAGATTTTGCCTAATTAATAATCATTTTCAAAACTGCTCTCTTACCGAAATAGTTACGGGCAATTAACATAGATTTTATTGCATAGTCTCAATCTTACTGTGACACAGGGTGCCATGTTTTTTTTTAATAATTATTTTTAATTATTTTATGTGTAGGTAAATTCGTTTTTTTAATCATATATAATATAAGAGACTAAATGACGTAATTTTTTTTTTGAATGCTTTCAGAGTATCAATGTGTCCAAGGTAAAAATGTAGGCATCAATTTGCAAGTTCAATTGCAGATTATACAGTTGAATAATAACGTTGCCATAGACAATAATAAATCTGTTTCAATCTCAGCTTGGATAGGGAATCTCAGTGAAAAAGGAAAAAGTTTTTTCGTGCGACAATGTGTTTTTGGAATATACTTAAGGACATTATGCTTAATTAGGAAAGGTGATTTGGCGGTGATCGCGGTCTATTATGAAATAGACACATAATCAATTATAGATACCGAGGGGAAAATATTATTTGGTTTAAGGGACATTATAACAAATTTACAGGAGAGCCATTTAAAGTATAAAATTTGAAAAAAATATCATGACAAAAAAAACTTCTTCAACTATTTGAATGGGGTAAACATAATTGAAGTTCAATTAAAAACATCGAACTGTTGATGCTAATACCAAATAAAACGGACCTATAATTACAAAGATATATCGCCTTTTCGCATTAAAAGTGTACAATTTCGAAAAATATTCGAAATTGAGTTAATATGCCGAATCATTTGGTATCACCAGTATTTTTCCTCATAAATACTGTCAAAAGAGCGTAGTTTAGTTTTTTTTTTTTACTTTACCTATGTTTTGACTACTATTCTCAAAATTAATATATAATTTTATCTTACTTTAAAAGACAGATAATGTAACTGGTAAAAAATAAAAATAAAAATGTTTCTAAGATGATTAATATTAAAAATATTACATGCTAAACCTTTCAAACACTTTCCTGTAAAATTAGTAAGTTTTCAGATTATATAGACTTAATGCGAGAAGAAGATATGTCGCGTATTAAGCGAAATATCGCTTTAACCAAATAGCGTTTCACCCTTCGATATATGCGTCATAGAAATGTCTTCATTCGATCGCATTACCCAGCGCTGAATCTCACGCGTTATATCTGTGATACTTTACGTTTGTAATGCACGCAATAATATTACGTATTCGGTATTATGTTTAGGTTAAGTTTTCAACGAAATACGTTTTTACGTTAAGGTTGAGTTTTAGTTGACTGGTTGTTTTCGATGGGGAGTAACGCCGGTTGCGGAGACTAATCGTGGATAGCTGGTACAAATGATTATTACGTGGTAGACATGTCAATATTATATATGAGTCGACTATTATCAAAACCGGCAATGTGACTTTTGGACAATTATTGGTAAATCAGAAAAACGAATTATTGACTTTGTATTCCATTGGCAGTCACAAAACTCTTCTGAACGACATCTTAGGTAAATAACAGGTTAAGTATTAACCTTTATTTAATGCATGTTTTGAATCATATTCTTTGAAGGAGACGAATAAATTCAAATCAATCTGTATTGACATATCAATAACATTTTTTTGTCCAAATGCACAGATTGCCACCTTTGATAATAGACGACTCATATGACAATTTGTTTGAAATATCACTTTTTACATAAAAAGTTATTAATTGGCTTAGTATGAGTTGCACTATTTCTTTCTCTGTGCTAGTTTTTTTTTTTTAAATAGAAAGTAAATGATTTAGAATTCATAGTCACTTTAAGATTTTGAGAAACAAAAAAATCGACCTGCCTGTTTTAAAAAAAAAAAACTAAAGATGCTTTGTTTATGCCATATTCAGCTGTCTGGTCAGGTTGTAGTCTATCGGCGTCACTCCATCGATGTTTACTTTATTTTAATGTGAATTTTTATATAAAATTTAACCGATTAACATGAATAACAAGGATTCCGTCTCCCGCATTCCAAATGTATTCCGTGTATTCGTTAAGTACAAAAATAAAAGGGATTATATTCGATTTTGTTGTTTTATTTTGAACCTTAAATATCTAGTCTATGCTACGCCGCTTCGAAGGGACGCCCACTGAGTTTCTCGCTGGATCTTCTCAGTGGGTCGCGTTTCCGATCCGGTGGTAGATTCTGCGAAGCACTGCTCTTGCTAGGGCCGGTGTTAGTAACACCGGTTTAAGCTTCGAGTCACCCATGCGCTAGGGTAACGCTGATATAGCCTACCAAAATACCACGCGGCTCGGTGGTGAGCAATCCCTGTGGAAATCACAGTCAGCAGTCTACCATGAGATGATTTCTGATGCTCGTTAGCATGGATGGCCACTTAATCAGGCATGGCTTAATATTATCTGAGTAATACGGAGATAGAAAGTTGAATTGAAAGTTCGGCTTGGTCTTCCGCTATTGAAGATACATTGGCTTAGAATTATGGTGTATTTTTTGTGTATCTTTTTAGTAGGAACTTTTTTTATTTTTGAGCAAGTCAATGTGTAGCGTAAAAGTTAACTCTTTGTATACAGTTGGAACAGCGCCCGCAGCGGCAAACGTTCCAAATCCATACAAATTTGAGTTACTTTTACGCTATCGATAACGTTAAAAACTCGCAATAAGCACACAGAAGGTTTTATTCGTCGATTGAGGTCGCTCGGGTCGACTAGGTGCTACCGCCACACCTATTTTGTTGAAGCAGTAATTTATTCCGATTTGATATTCATCATTTCATTATCCTACCCTTCTCCCAGTTACCTGGAATCGGCCCAACATATTTTCTCCTTCCATACTCTTATGATATTATGCTATTCAATTAAGACTAGGACCTAGGCTTCAAAGTGCCTAAGTGACGTCAACCATTTTGTGATTTTTATGAACGGTAATTTTGGTAGTCGTTGATGGTGGTTGTAAGTTCACCAGTGCTGGGCGGCACAATAACGAGTCCGTAATTGGATGGACAGTTTATTTCCAATCACACTAATCACAGACGATATAAAAATATTTAGAAGGAGAAATTACGGAGTACAGAAGGCACGGATAAAGCGGTAGCAAGTTCAAACACAATATTACAAAATAGACAAAAGCAATAGATCGCAACAAATCAAGAGTACCTACGCGTAAGTCGAGGAGTGACACAGTCTTAACGTGGCGATGATCAAACCCGACTGGCCGCGAGCGGCGGCCAAGTCGTGTCGCAGACTGTCGCAGGCACAGAACACTATTACTTCTAGCGAAGTAATTACTTCACTTCTAGCACTATCACTTCTGGTCGCAGGCGACGACCAGTACGTACGTAGTTATACATAGTCGGGGTCTTTGCCGCATACTAGCGGTTGCTCCCGACTATGTTTGTGTAAATAATATAATTTTGCGTAGTGTTGTGAATGTATGATTGTTTGGCGTATTTGTGTACTGTATGACAGTGTGTTATAGAATACGTAAATAAATATGAAATAATATTAAATATTGAGTAGGTGTGCAATGTAAATTAATAAGTAATATGAACTAATATACATAAATATAGTAGAAACACCTACAGTAATAACCACTTTACGGCAGAAAAACTCGCGAATTGCTGCTTGTGCCTGAAAAACACTTGAGTCGTCTATTATCAAAGGCGGCAATCTGTGCATTTGGACAAAAAAATGTTATTGATATGTCAATACAGATTGATTTGAATATAATCGTCTCCTTCAAAGAATACGGTTCAAAACCTGCATTAAATAAAGGTTAATAGTTAACCTGTTATTTATCTAAGATGTCGTTCCGAAGAGTTTTGTGACTGCCAATGGAATACAAAGTCAATAATTCGTTTTTCTGATTTACNAATATAATCGTCTCCTTCAAAGAATACGGTTCAAAACCTGCATTAAATAAAGGTTAATAGTTAACCTGTTATTTATCTAAGATGTCGTTCCGAAGAGTTTTGTGACTGCCAATGGAATACAAAGTCAATAATTCGTTTTTCTGATTTACCAATATTGTTCAAAAGTCAGATTGCCGGCTTTGATAATAGACGACTCACTTGTCGGAACAGAAAAAGTGATTGACTTTTACAATATAACCCTTAATCCCTTGACTTATGTGTATTATCGGAGCTTTTTGGCGGGAACGCGAAGAGCTATCTCAATTGTAAGATCATTTTATTTTATTTGGGTTTAAATGTGTGTAATAACTGGTTTATTAAATGCTTAGCGTCTCTGAACGTGCAAATGTGAACGTAACTTTCTTCTTTAAAAAAATTCAATGAAATAATCTTAACAGCATTTTACTGAGTCTTTATTTTATCTCATCTGTTCGATCCGAACCCAGCACCCTCGTGGCAGTCTAGGGCTCCGGAAACCAGCACGAGGTGCCCATCGAACATGTGCCGCGATCCGCGGCGCCGTATCTACTATTATAACAAAATATCATCTAATCACTCACTGGAACCGATGACCTCGTCATCTCACGCCGTATCACTTAGGGAGAAGGATTTAGGGCAGGAATGGATAAGGATTAGTGATAATGCAAATCGTTAACGTAGACCGTCACATATGCGGGTACCGTCCCGTTCGAGAACAAGACAAAGTGACATGTCAAATCGCGAAGGCACCGTCAAATCGCGACTCGTGTTGCCGTGTAAAAATTCAAATACCAAACGGATTGGTTTCGAACATCATCACATCTCGTTTCATTCAATTTCATTCCAATTGATTAGTCTGGAATTAATGAACTCACCTCAATCGCTCCGATTTTTATAAAGTGGACACTAGCAACAATGGCAACCTAAGAAACCAATTGCCATACTCAAAAAAAGGAGAAGAAGAAATATATCATCTGTTTTACAATTTGACAGCCGTCACAGTGTAGGTATTCTTGCACCTCTCTTCAAATTTACAACAATTTCTACCGTAGAACTGTATTCCGAAATTTAAAGTTATTTTTGAGTGAAATAATAGCAAATCAACATTAAAATGACTGAAAAAGATATCACAATTGAGGAACTCGAAGAAACTGTAAGTTTATCTTAATAAATTCAGTATACATCTTTTAAATAGCTAGGTAGGTACTGTGAACAGAATCTAGGTCACAACACCGCTTTAAACCTCAAATTAAGTTCTTAAGTTATAAAATCCTGGAATAGTCCAATAAAGGTCTTAGATATTAATATAAAGGTAACTGAAAGCTGTTATTAACAAGAATAGGAGTGTATATAGTCTATATAAGTGGCCATCTACTGAATCAAATTTTCGTTCATATTATTAATAAAAAGGTTTTTTTTTAAGAAAATGAATAATGCTGAACTGTATTATAAAATTAAAATTACTAAATATATTATAAAGAAGCTTGGTTTTATAAAAAGAACTTAGTGCTGATGGAACATAGATTTTTTTTAGTTGAAATACTTGTATATTACATAGGTACACATACAGTTTCAACTTTCATTCTAATCGTGTATTCAAATAAATAGTATTAATCATAGATTGAAGCCTGAATGTTTGAAGAAAAATAAAACAGATTTTAAAGTTTTTGACAGATTGTACATGATAACAATCCAAACCATCTATCCATCAAAAATCACAATTATATTTGATGTGATAAAAGGTCTTATGATACATACTTAATATCTGTAGGCCGGACATAAAAATGCTTCAAAAACCATTGGTTAAATCAGACACATGAAATAATAAAATTGAATATTCAGGTCAAACAAACAGACGTGCAAATAGACCTCATGGACTGGAAGATGGATAATGTTGAAAAAGAGCTAGTGCAGCCTATCAACGCTCAGGAGACCTGCATCATGAATCTGCTTAAATCAGTTTCGGAGGTAACCACCCTTGCTTGATTGCTATTTAATAGATTTTACTGTGTTTTACTAAAATAAAGATGGCATTCTAAAATAATAAAATCCTAATATATATGTACAAGTCAATAAAAAAGTTCTGCATTAATATTGTAATAACATATATACTTTATCAATTTTGATATAGCTCAAACGTTATATATTATTATATAACAATCTAATAATATATATAAATTTTCCCTTATTAATTCATGGGATTTGTTTTTTTCATAGAATCAATATAGAGTCAACACCTTTGTAACTTTGTGTAGTATGTGAATGGTATTAGTAATAATCAAATTTTGTTATAAAGAAAATAAAAAAAAATCTAAAAAATTTTAAACCAACTAATTTTTTCCATCAAATTGAGTGAATTCGTAATATGGGACTAAATATAATAGATTTCCTTAAACACTTTCTACAAAAACATTTACAAATACAAAATGCAAGTAAATATCAAAACACCAATTTACAATAAAAATAATAGCCATTCCCCTATGAAGTTGCCGTTTTACAATATTGTGTTTTACATTTATATGTGGCTGCAATAAATTCTAAATTCAAATTAGATTTTAAAAATATTGAATTATATTCTGAAGTTTGGTAATTTGGTAATTAGAAGTTCAAAGGCAGCATAGAATGACTTTGAAGAGTTTGTTGGCACCTGTACACCTGATTTCTCTGAAAAAGGGCATTGAAAATTACCAGTCTTTGCAGAGATGCATCGAAATAAAAAATATAACAAAATGTTTTTAATTTTGTGTATATTAAATATGGCGATTTCGTTGGTAAAACCCTAATGTTTTTTTAAATCAGAGCATCAGATTACATGAGAGAAGTTATTTGTAAAATGTGTCATATATTTACAATTTGTCTTAAAACATTTTTATGAGATTGTTATGTTACTAAAATATATAAGAAGTCATTTTTAGTATAATTGCATCCAATTCTATACAACGAATTCTATATTATAAAGTAATAATTAAATTCCGAGTCTATTATAAGTATGTAATATAATTAAGACATAATAACCACAATATGGGTGTATTTATTTTTCAGCCAGTTGCCTTAATGCTGACACCAGGTTAGGACAGTATTTTGGTCACGTTGCTTATGGCTTTTTATTTTCTATCTATAATGTAAATTATAATTGTAAGGGTGTTAAGAAAAATCGTCGGATTCTCACACTGAGAAATGTACTAAAGTAGTTGTTGATTAAAAATAATGCTTGAACTACATTAACTACCCGTGATTGACTTGTGCCAATTTTGGCTGTATGTATATAGGTAGGTATGAATAAATTGAATCCATGCTTCGTATTGCGCTACTAGGATGCTGACGCCTAAACCCTGAAGCTCCCTTCAACTCGGAGAACAGAAGAGGACCAGTGGCCTAGCGAGGGGGACAATGGGGCATCAGGGAGGGGGGGGCTATTTACAAAGGGGCGCCAAATGGTCCGCAAAACAAAAAATTACTGGATAATTTTTATTTTTATTATAATTGTTTTTTTTTTTTTTTATAACAACTAAGAGGCAAACGAGCAAGACGGGTCACCTGATGGTAAGTGATTCACCGCCGCCCACGGTCACCAGCGTTTGCGCCAGTGCGTTGCCTACCCTTCAGATAAGAATATGCTCTTTTCTTGAATAATCCAATGTCGCAGTTGTTGGGGAAGACCGCTGATGGCAACGAATTCCAGAGATTTACTGTGCGTGGCAGAAAACTGTTTTTAAAACGCATTGTAGTGGAACGCCAACCATCCAGATGGTGCGGATGATAGTTCCGGCGAGACGATCGGTTGCGAAAATCAGCGGCTTCTATTAAATTGAACAACTCCTCGGAACACTCCCCATTGTNTTTTAAAACGCATTGTAGTGGAACGCCAACCATCCAGATGGTGCGGATGATAGTTCCGGCGAGACGATCGGTTGCGAAAATCAGCGGCTTCTATTAAATTGAACAACTCCTCGGAACACTCCCCATTGTAGATTCTGTAAAGTATGCATAGGGAAGATAGATCCCTACGCAGTGCCAAAGGATCTAGCCGATCGGCAAGTTCCGGATCGTCGACAATCCGAGATGCCCTACGTTGGATTCGGTCAATTGGAGATAGCTGATAACCCGGAGCCCCGGCCCAAAGGTGGCAACAATACTCCATGTGAGGCCTCACCTGCGCCTTATACAGCTTAAGGCGGTGAGCCGGCTTGAAGTACTGTTTGGCCCTGTTGAGTACTCCGAGTTTTTTGGAGGCCATTTTAGCCTTGCTCTCCAAATGACCGACAAACTGGACAACACTCGAAATGTCTACGCCCAGAATGCCCATGTTCGGCTTGGCACAAAGGTGAGTGTTTCCGAAGAGTGGCGATGCGACAAAGGGGGCTTTTTTAGCGGTAAACGCGCAAACTTGAGTCTTAGAAGGGTTAATTCTGTACAATATATTTTAAATTTAGCGCCAGTGGTTAGATATAATAAATGATAATTCGTCAATAAAAGGGAACATTAATACATAGTATAAATCAAACTTATTATTATTTTAAAACAGCTTGTTTTAAAATATTTCTTTATAAATATGTAAAATAATTAAAAGTTATCTTCTGTTTTTTCAGTTACATTATTTGTCTCAAATTTAAAGCCTAGCTTGAGCATATAACTTTATTTATTCATTAATTTGCGAGTATATTTTTCATATAATATGATATGGTTTACAATTGTGGGGGGCGCTAAAAAGGTATTTGCCCAGGGCGCGAGCTAAAATCGCTGCGCCATTGAAGAGGACATACCCACATCAACACGTGAGAATAGCCAGGGCCAAGTTCGTCAATCTGGTTATGCTAATGTAGTTCTAGCTTTACTGAAACACTGATATTAAAACCAAATTTGTCGATACGCCCTAAAAAAAACAAAAAAAAATACTTGCTCGTTCACTGCGCCCACGAAACTACTTCCAACCAAATCAAATACAAATACCCACGAAATATCAAGCCATAATTATCATGCTTCTTGTAATATGAATGTGTTTATGCAAGAGAGCCTCATACAAATTTTATAAAAAAAAAATCGGTTGTCTGTAAAGTCGGTTTACTCACGACAGTTGAACGTGACAACGTCATAAGAAAATACTGATGGAATGGTTTCATTTTTCAAAAGAAAATTTTAATTTTATTTGTTTGATAGATATTTTGTATAGACAATTGACACCACATTCACTTTTCACTGAACTTCATACTTGACGAAAACATGTAGATGTATTATTGTATAGCAGCTGTCCACGCGGATGCATCGCTCACTCAAGTAGGAGAGAGACAGATGTCGAACGCTGCCGAACGCGGAGGCCGATTATGCCTCTTTGTCGCTCGTTGCGCGCTCTCGCTTGCACTTCAAGCTTTAAATGGAACGTCTCAATGAGTCACGTTTTTTCGTGCGTGCAGCCGGCTCCATCGAATTATAAGACGTTGTCATGTCAAAAAATATATTCTTCTACTGCAGCATAAACACATCTGTATTCGCCGGGCTTACCCATGGTACAGAGTTGAAGCCCTTATTACCAAAGCCCACGGAACTGGGTCCGCGCTTACGTTGGACTTGCCAAAAGTATATTTTGCCAGAGCTCCTTACATGTATAATATGTAATTATATAGTTGTATCAATGATGTGATACGATGTTATTGAGTTGACTGAATTCCGTAGTGGTATAAGATTTAAGTGAATAATTTGTGAAATGGGCTATCAAAGATTTCGTGTTGGAATTCACATAAACGATATAATCTTCATTGATTAAAACTATACTACATTAATTAATAAATGTGCCGTAAAGGAATAAACATCACATTTGGTCTTTATTGACTGTCAGTTTCTAAGACTATCGAAAGAGACGAACCAATAGTGTTTTCTCTTTCCCGCTGCTAATTTTTTTACAGCTACAATAGTTTGCCGAATAAATCACTTAACCTATATCACTAATGATTTCAGCCCCCGAAATATGAAGCTTTAATGTCTTGTCAATGATTTTTTAATAATTTAGTTGTTTGGATAAAATTATTGTGACCGATATACATTTTTACTGAGGTCTCCTCATAATTTAAATTATCTTTGAATTTCATTTAACCCTTTGCTAATCTCATCAGTCGTAATGTCAAAAATGTCATATACATCATAACATACTTTTTTTATTGCCCTTGTAGGCAGACTAGCATACGGCCCACCTGATGGTGAGTAGTTACCGTCGCCCATGGACGTCAACAATGCCAGGGGCAGAGCCGAGCCGCTGCCTACAATGCTTATGCTTAATGCTTCATCATTAGATACAGTTATTATCTGGGGGTAGGTTGTCTGTGAACCCGCAGGGGAGGTGACTACCAAACTGCCTATTTCTACCGCCAAGCAGCAAAGTTTCAGGATGGGATAACAGATGTACTAAAAAACTAAAATTTAGAACTCATGTTTCAAGCGGCTTTTACGTTTTTGATGTCTATTGGCTCCGGTAACCACTTAACACCAGGCTGGCCGTGAGCTCATCCATCTATCTAAGCAAAGAAAAGATCTTTACCCCCAGCCAACTATTCATTCCAACCCTCTTTTCAACTCAGTTTTATTTAAGCTCCAACCGTATTTTTGGAACCATAAATTCTTCGTCTTCAATGTGAGAAGAGCTCCGTAAAAATGTATCGCCATATGTCACATTCATCTTACACGTGAATACTTCAATATATGGGACGACCATATACCATGATCATATTGTTATTAGATTCTCTGGTATTGTGTTTGTTTGATTGATTGATACCGTGAGAGATGTAACTGCATTGCTACATCGAGTATGCATTGTCCATTAAAGGCCAGCTATAATGCTATCAACAGTTTCCTTGCAAATTTACGATTAAAAAATCCGTGTTCCCATACTATGACGATTTAATATTGTCTTAATACTGGCCAACCCTCTAAGAGACCGTATCAATCAATATTAACACTCTTAAATTTTCTTATTGGAAAATGAATGAAAAAAAAACTGTATGGTATTGCGCAATTTTACCTTTGAGGTGTGTTGCTGTGATCCAGTACACCAGCGTTCGTGGCCTATACAGACGACGATCCTAGGACAAATTTCATTCTCCCAAATGATGTACCTAACTATTATTCGGAAATTACTGTATAGCAATTGGTACACTGCCGATATTATTTTTGTAAGATTTACGTGGGATCTAGCGGTGGTGGGTGGACCCTATTCTCTGAAGTCTTCAAGCTTGGTCATGCTGAACCATAACAAATTTGTGTTAAAAATACTAGGCGAACCCAAATGGTAAGATTGCGCAATTTCTTTCATAAAGAAGTCGAGGCATTATCTCAACTGAATGGTACCGAACAATCTTTGATCTCCAGGTACGTTCGGATTACCAGCAGCTCCGACGTGAGCTGGTCGAAGTGCAGGCCCTGCAGCAGGAGTTGTCCACAAAACTGAGAGCTCAAGTAAGACTGGTGCATGGAAAGTTCGCGAGACTGCGGCAACGGCTCGTGGCGGCATCGCCACCTCGTTAAGAACCTTCCATCATAATCGTCATTTCTTCTATGTCTTTGTATAAAAACAAGAGTGCACAGTTTCGAAGTGAAACTTGTATTGTCGTGGCGATGGTAACTCTTCGTGGTCGAATCACAGTGCAAAGGTTTTGTTGGAAAATGTGAAACTATGGAGAGTAGAGGTGAAGATAACCATCTTGTCTAAGGGACAAGTTGAAAAGGAGTCCATCTCATTTTGTTTGTTTTGTTTTGCAAGTTATTGTTAGAAGACTCACTGGAAGTAGAAATTCCTTCGACTTGCTATTGTGGTGCCACCTTCATTGACTCCCTTCCGGTGGACACTTTTCAATACACTGAGATGGTACTCCTTATTTCTATCCTCCATGTTTGAAACGAAAGGTTTCTGTCGCAGAAAGAGCAGACAATAGCTCTATCTCTGTCGCTCTCTCTCGCTCCTTCAATCACAAGAAAGTTTCACATCTACAAAGTGCACTGAGCGCTGTTTTATCTTGATATTAAAATGATAAGTAAAGTGCCGCGAATTGAACACCACCCAGCAGCACTCCAAAGACATAAGAAAAACTTTTAATACTCTAAGGATCGCACACATTTAAATCCTTGACTACACGAACGAATATTAATCTAGTGCCTAGAATAGTTTGTATTCGGAAACTAGGACATAACGTGCCAATGTTTTAGTATTAATATAGATAGGATAAATTTCTGATTAACAATTACTAATTTTAAATAATTATAACGTAATTATCGCGTGCCACTTTTTAAGTAATATTTCCATGAAGTTCATAAGTACGTTATTTTACTTATGTGAGCTGATCGACTTCCTTGAGAAGTTGGGCTGGGAGGAATGAACACTCAGCCCACGTAAAGGTGGAACCATATCGTCTGGTAACGAAGAACTATCTACGTTTCAAGAGTCAATTACATGTAAAGAGGTGTTGACATTTCGTATTTTATGAAACAGCAATGTAAAGGGAAGAAGCAATGAAGAGCGAAATCCTTCCAATTTTTTTTTCTTTTTCTGATTTTAATATTTTGACAATAGTGCTCCTTTTCGCAACGCTTTCTCATTACTGAAGGTCCTGACTCCCCAGCTGCATCATTTTCTGGAACTTGATGTTCAGAGAAAATCGAATTTGGTCTGACCATCTAGTGGGATTGCGTCGTCTGGGACGTTTGCCATCTACCCTGTCTCACCATCAGCTGTTCGAGATTGCGACCCTCATTTCTAGCAATGTGTTCCAAGAATTCCAGTACCCCACGAAGGTTTATCGCATGTATTGACAACAATAGCAATTGCGTCAGCTATGCCTGTGACACATCAGACCTCTTTGTACCTAAAATCTCATGTGTCTGTAATATTGTAATTGTGTTAGCATTTAGTGTAAAATCAATATGAATGATACCTGTAATGTTCTATGCTGATGTATAACATGTTGGTACCCAATAAATAAAACAAAAATGAAATATACATGTACCGCAGAGGTTGCTACCGTTAAGGCTAAAAAAGCCATTCGTATCCAGCGACGCGACTCTGCAAATGAATGTTCACAATATTCTCAACACGTTATGTTAAAAAAATAGGAACCTTGTTTTCGCGACACATCACTTCGCACACGACGACGGCACCGTGGTAGTGAATTAAATTAACTTCTTAATTGTTCTATGATCTCAAACGTAAATGTAAAGTATAGAAAGTAGTATTACTTAACCCTTTGACTGTAATGTAGGTCACCGGTGTCCTACGCGGCGCACTGAAGTAATGATGTCGATTTATGTTACTAAGACGCCGGAATATCTGGTAGACCCTGGGAAAGACGGATCCGAAGGTACTGAAAATGAATCTATTTCTAAGAGACATAACAGACTGAATCTTATCTTATCTTATACCTTTAAACGAGCAATTCTTGTATATATATAATCTGAATCTCGGAAAAGGCTCCAACGATTTTCATAAAATTTAGTATACAGAGGATTTCGGGGGCGATAAATCGATCTAGCTACGATTTATTTTCAGAAAATGTTGTTTTATTCGTGTTTTCAATACTCAACTCTTCCCGACATCTATTGGCGAATAATAATACTATTTTTCTTAATTGAGAGCAACTAACCAAGATGGCGCTATCAAAAAAAACCGAGCAAAGCTCGGTCATCATCTAGCATACATTAACAAACAAAAGAAGGCAAAGCTAGGCAGTCAAAGAGCTTAGTAACATAAATCGATATAATTACTTCAGTGCGCCGCGTAGGGCACCGGTGACCTACAATGCTGTCACCGTATTAAAAATAACTTGTAAGATACCTAACATTTTATAGATTATTTGTCATTAGTACGGAACTGGTATTATACTAATGACCCAGTTTTTAGATACTTAAAATTATATTTTAAGACTCCTAAAAGTAAACATTTATAGAGATACTTTGAACAAAACCTTTTGCATAATATCATTGGTACTGATGATGAAGATATCAATTATAATTTAACGGTAAAATGCTATTTGTTTTAAATGACATTTCGTTTAGGACACGACTTTTGTTTTTTTAATTAAAGGTCCGTTTTATTTGGTCTTAGTATCAACAATTCGATGTTTTTAATTGAACCTTAGATAAATCTTCTTGGGATATTTGAATGGGGTATTCAAATACCCTAAGAAGTTTTGTTGTCATGATATTTTTCCTAAAATTTAAACTTTAAATGGCTATCCCGTAAACTGGCAAATATGACGCTTAAAACAAATATACTTTCACCCCTTGATATATGTTAGTACCTTATATTAATTGTATTTAGCAGAATTAATACAAACTAATTCTATACGCTACAATAATAATAACAACCTGATAGTATTAATTTCTAGAAAAATCTCTTTATACACAATCTTTTAAATATTTATATATTTGTAAATTTACCTAAACCTAGTCTATAGTTGACCGTTTAGTTAATTTTTTAAACAATGTTTAGACAAATTTTTTGACAAGATTACGGTGCTAAATGAAACATTTTGATGTTTTATTGTAGAATTTATGTTGTTTATAAAATATATAATAATATATCGAAATATATAATTATTTATTTTAGGTAATATTTGTTTTTTGTCGAAATTTCATGTTTTCTCTTAATGTTATAATTTTGTTTGTGGTTCAAAAAAAAACTATTTATAGATTGCTAATCTTGGGTAAAACCAGGACCGTTGATTCAACACAAACCTACGAACCCGCAATGTAACGCGATCACAGCCGCGTCCTCAGAACGCGCAATGCACAAAGGACTTTTTGGCGGGAACGCGAGTAGTGAAGTTGTGTGATTTGTTTTATTTTGTCTATTTAGTGTTTATTCAGGTTTAAATGTGTAATAACGGTGGTTTATTAACTGTTTAGTACCTGTGAAAGTGCACAAACGTGCGAAAATGAAACAAAGCCGCTGGACGTAACTTCTCGGGATCCTCCAAAAAGTCCACTGCAAAAATCTCAGTAAATGACCAACATTTTACTAAGATTATATTTCATCCCATATCATTTTATTTCATTTCACTCCATATTATAATTTTTCATAAAAATAAGAATATAAATTAAAATAAGACATGACCTTAAGTTCTTAGTTTTAGATACCAGGTCATAAAATCCCTTAAAAAAAAGCAATGCACAAAATGTCACCGAATGTCTTTGTATTCGTTTACATCCTATTTAAAATTATCCGACCGAGTTTCATAGCATTTTTTTTCATAAATTGTTATATTTCAATCTTCATTTTAGTCTTCATCACTGTTCCGGTAAATTATTCGATAGGTTCGTTTTGTTATAAATAACATTGGGAGTCTGATTTGTACGTGCGAAAGCCAAGAGAAGATTCGGTATTGTACTGCCAAAAGAAATGTTATAGTCATGTATATAATAATATATTGTTACTGAAAATCTTAGCAGAATTCGTAATCACTCGTGTCTTCCTCTTGTATTCATATTATTTCATAGAGAGTATTAAATGCCGCATTTATTAGTTGAATTTAGTTGAGAACCTTTAATTAGACTGCAACATGTAGATATAGTTAGTGATATTGTCAATGTTATAGTTCTTAGCACATATCAAGCACTGCATGCCTAGGGAAATATTAGATTTAGATAATATTGATTTGGTGAATACTACATTGTGTGTAAATTAAAATCTTTCACAAGCTTCAAATACAAACGTGAAACTAGAAATATTGTCGTATTTCAATTAATTGAAAAAAAATAGGCTTTATTTGTTTGTGGATTGAAGCGGTTTTTCGCATATGATGAAAATCCACAACGAATATAAGAAAATTTTCTTTGGATGGGTAGAAATACAGTAATTTATTGTAAGCTCAGTCAGTGGCCACTTTCCCCTGTTTGAGGCGTTAATTCGACCTCACGTGTCAATGTGAGTTGACATTGACATGGCAACTATATAACGTATATACATATGTAACGAAAGTGAGATTATGATTCACGCTTACCTGCCTTTACGTAACATGTTCACGGGTATTCACGGTGTGCTGCCTCTTGGTACTTTATTAGCATTGTTAATTTCATAAGCTAAAATTGTATTGAAGCCGTATTTGCTACTACCCACCACAGATTTATAAAAAAAGTTATAAATCGCGCGGCTGACGCAGTGCCGGATTAATCAAGCGCGGGGCCCCTAACAGGTTACTAAATTATACTAATAATAATGTAGACTGTTAATCTTACAAATAAATATATAATTTTAACAACTTAAATCGAGCCATCTCAATTCTACTACACATCCACACTGTGTCGGGTAAGAGTGCTTGCATACGTCAGACTTTTTGTAGAGCTGATTATCAGGCTGATTGAAATTCTACACGTTTATACAAACAACTTTTTCTTAATAAGTCACTCAAAAAATTAAGCTCGGGCAGAGCTGAGTGGGTTTAAATCTGCGGGGCCCCCGTTCGCGCGGGGCCCGTAGCAATTGCTACTCTTGCTACATGGTTAATCCGGCACTGGGCTGACGATTAGCCGCAAAACGTTTTACTAATGTAGTATTTACCGAATCAAACGTAAGAAGTAGCTTATTGTAGTCATAAGCGAAACACATGTCTGAAACTATGTTTAAGCACTAAAAACTTAACGAAGTATACCTGATTGTAATTATATAGGATTAGAGTTATACATAGAATTGCGACACAATTAGTAATGTCGTTTGTGTAAAACCGACTTGTTTTTTTTTATGATTGAAGGATTACTGGTGGCCCGGAGGTCTTTCCAGTTTCACCAGGACAGGTGGGCAAGCAAAGGCTCAGCCAGGAGGGGTGGGATTTGCTAACAGTTACCCGAGCGCCTCCGAAGGAGACCTAACAGCTCAAGAGTAGCTGCTTCGCGAATGAATCTACTACCGGATCGGAATCGCGACCCGCTGAGAAGATCCGGCGAGAAACTCAACGAGCTGATTCATGGATTAGGTTGCACGGCGAACTCTTTGTCGAGTTCGACGAGTACGGTTACCGAGGTCCCTAAGCCTGCTCCTAGTGTTAGAGCTGAAGGCGTCTAATGCAAAGGTTATTGGATCTGATGGATCCGTAAGGACGTGTAAAACGACTTGTGTTAACGGTCGCTTGAATTGGTACAACTATCGCCTTCAACTGTTCACATGATGATGCATCAATGGATTCTTTAATCGGGCGATAGTTGAGCCAACTGTTATTTTTTTTATTGCTTACATGGGTGGACGAGCTCACAGCCCACCTGGTGTTAAGCGGTTACTGGAGCCCATAGACATCTACGACTTAAATGCGCCACCCACCTTGAGATATAAGTTCTAAGGTCTTGAGTATAGTTCAACGGCTGCCCAACCCTTGAAACCGAAACGCATTACTGCTTCACGGCAGAAGTAGGCAGGGTGGTGGTACCTACCCGCGCGGGCTCACAAGAGGTCCTACCACCAGTACAAA